ATGGAAACATTGAATTCTTCATGAAAATGTTGATTGTGATTGAATCTCAACAGTGAAGTAAGAGTTTGTTTTGTTGTGATGTTAAATGTGAGTGAGTTTGTTTCCTGGATCCTGTTTGTGGTTTGTTGTTGTTCAAATGCTGCTGGTGCTTCAGGCTCCTCGTGTCATCCTCCTGGTCCTGGTCCTGGTCCTGGTCCTGGTCCTGGTCCTGGTCCTGGTCCTGGTCCTGGTCTGGTCTTGGTCTTGGTCTTGGTCTTGGTCTTGGTCTTGGTCTTGGTCTTGGTCTTGGTCTTGGTCTTGGTCTTGGTCTTGGTCTTGGTCTTGGTCCTGGTCCTGGTCCTGGTCCTGGTCCTGGTCCTGGTCCTGTCTGGGGACTTTGATCCATGTCTCTTTGGATTTGTGAGTGGGATGTGGGAGTGGGCTGAGCTTTTGTCTTCTTCTTCCTCCTTCTCCTCCTCGACTCACAGACGGAAAGTGTGATGAGACGATTCTCCAGTTCTCATCAGAACCACGTCGGGTCCAAATGTTCTGGACGGTGTTTGCGTCGGTGGAGGAACCACAAACCAGACGACAGAAAAGACACGAGCAGTTCAAGTGTTTGTGTTTAAATCTGTTGGTGTTTCTGTCCAATCAGAACCTCCCCCAGACGCTCACACACAGGAAATCAAAAACATCTCACCAGTTTAACACCAAACAACAAGAAACATCATCATTATTATTATTATTATTATTATTATTCATTATCATTATCATTATTATCATTATTATCATTATTATTATTATTATTATTATTATTATTATTTACATGGAAACTACAACAAGATTTGAATTCAGAATTAAACATTTCCATGTAAACGTGTCGTTCAGATGTTTTTTTCCAAGTGACTTTGGGTTTTGGATTTCAACATTTTCTCTGTAAATAAATTCCTGTTCCAGATGTGGATGTGGACCTGGACCTGGACCATCTCCTGTAGCTCCCTCAGACCTTCAGAACCTCAGACCTTCAGAACCTTCAGAACCTCAGAACCTTCAGAACCTCAGAACCTTCAGAACCTCAGAACCTTCAGAACCTCAGAACCTCAGAACCTTCAGAACCTTCAGAACCTCCAGAACCTCAGAACCTTCAGAACCTCAGAACCTTCAGAACCTTCAGAACCTTCAGAACCTCAGAACCTTCAGAACCTCCAGAACCTCAGAACCTTCAGAACCTTCAGAACCTTCAGAACCTCAGAACCTTCAGAACCTCAGAACCTTCAGAACCTTCAGAACCTTCAGAACCTCAGAACCTTCAGAACCTTCAGAACCTCAGAACCTCAGAACCTTCAGAACCTTCAGAACCTCAGAACCTCAGAACCTCAGAACCTTCAGAACCTTCAGAACCTTCAGAACCTCAGAACCAGAACCTTCAGAACCTCAGAACCTCAGAACCTTCAGAACCTCAGAACCTCAGAACCTCAGAACCTCAGAACCTCAGAACCTCAGAACCTCAGAACCTTCAGAACCTTCAGAACCTTCAGAACCTCAGAACCTCAGAACCTTCAGAACCTCAGAACCTTCAGAACCTCAGAACCTTCAGAACCTTCAGAACCTTCAGAACCTCAGAACCTTCAGAACCTCAGAACCTCAGAACCTTCAGAACCTCAGAACCTTCAGAACCTTCAGAACCTTCAGAACCTCAGAACCTCAGAACCTCAGAACCTCAGAACCTCAGAACCTCAGAACCTTCAGAACCTTCAGAACCTTCAGAACCTCAGAACCTTCAGAACCTTCAGAACCTTCAGAACCTTCAGAACCTTCAGAACCTTCAGAACCTCAGAACCTTCAGAACCTCACGCTCTTAGGTTTGGAGTCCAGGTTTTTCTGAAACTTTCTGTTTCTAAAAATACGAGTGACCTGATCTGCAGTAATCCCCCGACACGAGTGTGACCGGGTTTAAACACATTCCAACAAGAACCAGACCACGGACCAGAGACCAGACCAGAGACCAGAGACCAGACCAGAGACTAGACCAGAGACCAGACCAGAGACCAGACCAGAGACCAGACCAGACCAGACCAAAGACCAGACCAGACTAGACCAGACCAGAGACCAGACCAGAGACCAGACCAAAGACCAGACCAGACCAGACCAGACCAGACCAGAGACCAGACCAGACCAGACCAGAGACCAGAGACCAGACCAGACCAGACCAGACCAGAGACCAGACCAGAGACCAGACCAGACCAGACCAAAGACCAGACCAGACCAGACCAGAGACTAGACCAGAGACCAGACCAGAGACCAGACCAGACCAGAAGACCAGACCAGACCAGAGACCAGACCAGAGAGACCAGACCAGAGACAGAGACCAGAGACCAGACCAGAGACCAGAGACCAGAGACCAGACCAGAGACCAGAGACCAGAGACCAGAGACCAGAGACCAGAGACCAGACCAGAGACCAGAGACCAGAGACCAGAGACCAGACCAGAGACCAGAGACCAGAGACCAGAGACCAGAGACCAGACCAGAGACCAGAGACCAGAGACCAGAGACCAGAGACCAGAGACCAGAGACCAGACCAGAGACCAGACCAGAGACCAGAGACCAGAGACCAGAGACCAGACCAGAGACCAGAGACCAGAGACCAGACCAGAGACCAGAGACCAGAGACCAGAGACCAGAGACCAGAGACCAGAGACCAGAGACCAGAGACCAGAGACCAGAGACAGAGACCAGAGACCAGAGACCAGAGACCAGACCAGAGACCAGAGACCAGAGACCAGAGACCAGAGACCAGAGACCAGAGACCAGACCAGAGACCAGACCAGAGACTAGACCAGAGACCAGACCAAAGACCAGACCAGACCAGAGACCAGAGACCAGAGCAAAGACCAGACCAGAGACCAGAGACCAGACCAGAGACCAGACCAGACCAGAGACTAGACCAGAGACCAGAGACCAGAGACCAGACCAGACCAGAGACCAGACCAGAGACCAGAGACCAGAGACCAGAGACCAGACCAGAGACCAGACCAAAGACCAGACCAGAGACCAGACCAAAGACCAGACCAGAGACCAGACCAAAGACCAGACCAGAGACCAGACCAGAGACCAGACCAGAGACCAGACCAGACCAGAGACCAGACCAGAGACCAGGACTAGAGTTTGGTGGTTTTGTGGTTTTAGTTTCCTGTCGTATTCAAGTGTCTCTGGTCTCAGTTTCATCAGCGTCATTAAAACATCTGCAGCAAAAAGACCTGAGATCAAATTATATTTATTATATAAAAATAGAATGATTATATATTTATATGTTTATATGTTTATATGTTTATATGTTTAAATGTTTATATGTTTATATGTTTAAATGTTTATATGTTTATAAATGTTTAAATGTTTAAATGTTTATGTTTAAATGTTTATATGTTTATATGTTTAAATGTTTAAATGTTTATATGTTTATATGTTTATATGTTTAAATGTTTATATGTTTAAATGTTTAAATGTTTATATGTTTATATGTTTATATGTTTAAATGTTTATATGTTTAAATGTTTAAATGTTTAATGTTTATGTTTATGTTTATATGTTTATATGTTTAAATGTTTATATGTTTAAATGTTTATATGTTTAATGTTTATGTTTAAATGTTTAAATGTTTATATGTTTATGTTTATGTTTAAATGTTTAAATGTTTATGTTTATAATGTTTAAATGTTTATATGTTTAAATGTTTAAATGTTTATATGTTTAAATGTTTAAAAATGTTTATATGTTTAAATGTTTATATGTTTAATGTTTATATGTTTATATGTTTAAATGTTTATATGTTTTAAATGTTTATATGTTTAAATGTTTAAATGTTTATATGTTATGTTTAAATGTTTATATGTTTATATGTTTAATGTTTAAATGTTTAAATGTTTATGTTTAAATGTTTATATGTTTAAATGTTTATATGTTTAAATGTTTATATGTTTAAATGTTTAAATGTTTATATGTTTATATGTTTATATGTTTATATGTTTAAATGTTTATATGTTTAAATGTTTAAATGTTTAAATGTTTATATGTTTATATGTTTAAATGTTTATATGTTTATATGTTTATATGTTTAAATGTTTATATGTTTAAATGTTTAAATGTTTAAATGTTTAAATGTTTATATGTTTATATGTTTAGACTCAAACCACAAAATAATTCTTAATTAGTCACAGTAAAACACTCAGAAGGTTTATTCATCTCTGGGGTCGAGTCTCCCAGACACTTCCCTCACCCCAGACACTTCCCTCACCCTTCCCTCACCCCAGACACTCCCCTCACCCCAGACACTTCCCTCACCCCAGACACTTCCCTCACCCCAGACACTGGGACACTGAGGACACTTCCCAGTCCAGTCCAGAGACATCGTCCCTCCAGTGTGTCCTGGGTCGTCCCCGGGGCCTCCTCCCTCAGAAGGTTCAACACCAGCAAAATGTGGACACTGCCCAAGTCCACCACAGACCAGAGCTCCAGTCCCGGTCCAGTCCCGGTCCAGTCCCGGTCCAGTCCCGGTCCAGTCCCGGTCCAGTCCCGGTCCAATCCCTGGTCCAGTCCCGGTCCAGTCCCTGGTCCAGTCCCGGTCCAGTACCTGTAGAAGGTTTCCCAGTGCAGTTCTCCGAGGCTGAGGAACATCTGGTCCGTGGAGTAGATCCGGGTCTGGTCTTTCCTCCAGACGATGTCGGGTTCTGCCAGACCCAGAACCGCACAACCGAGCCGCACCGCGTTCCCCTGGGTCACCGTCTGGTTCTGAGGCTGCCGGGAGAACATCACGTCTAAAACACACAGAACCGGGTCAGAAGCACAGAACATCACGTCTAGAACACACAGAACCGGGTCAGAACCACAGAACATCACGTCTAAAACACACAGAACCGGGTCAGAACCACAGAACATCACGTCTAAAACACACAGAACCGGGTCAGAACCACAGAACATCACGTCTAGAACACACAGAACCGGGTCAGAACCACAGAACATCACGTCTAGAACACACAGAACCGGGTCAGAACCACAGAACATCACGTCTAGAACACACAGAACCGGGTCAGAACCACAGAACATCACGTCTAGAACACACAGAACCGGATCAGAATTTAAATGATTGTTTTTAGTGACTTGATGTTTTTATTCAGCTTTTCTCTCTCAAAATAAAAAACAAACTCTTTGTTTTTGATCATTTTCACAAAACTTTCAAACTGAAAATAAAAACTGTTTCAAATCTGAACCTCAAATCATTTTTACGACGTAAAAAATATAAACTGAATCAAATCAACTTTGAACATGAAATAAAACAGAAAAACATAAATGTGTCCAAAATAAACTTTATATCCAACTCTTCTACGATCTTTACATTTAAACTATAAAATAAATCAACTTATTTATATAAAAATATCACAAAATAAACTTTGTGAAGCTTAAATTGTTTTAACTCGATTATTTGAGTTTGGACAAAGTTTGACACAAACTGAAAACAGGATCAAAATTCAGTTCACTGCAAAAAACTCAACGTGTGGAACACAGAACCACAGAACCACAGACACAGAACCACAGACACAGAACCACAGACACAGAACCACAGACACAGACACAGACCACAACACAGAACCACAGACACAGAACCACAGACACAGAACCACAGACACAGAACCACAGAACCACAGAACCACAGACACAGAACCACAGAACCACAGAACCACAGACCACAGACACACAGAACCACAGAACCACAGAACACAGAACCACAGAACCACAGACACAGAACCACAGAACACAGAACACAGAACCACAGACACAGAACCACAGAACAGAACCACAGACACAGAACCACAGACACAGAACCACAGAACCACAGAACCACAGAACCACAGACACACAGAACACAGAACACAGACACAGACACACAGACACAGACACAGACACACAGACACAGAACCACAGACCACAGAACCACAGAACACAGAACCACAGAACAACAAACACAGAACCACAGACACAGAACCACAGACACAGAACCACAGAACCACAGACACAGAACCACAGAACCACAGAACCACAGAACCACAGAACAGCACTGAAACACACAGGACTGGGTCTGAAACAGGACTAAAGCCGAACTGAACCAGGACCCGGGTCTAGTCCCAGGACCACAGTGGGACTATGTGTGTGTGTGTGTGTGTGTGTGTGTGTGTGTGTGTGTGTGTGTGTGTGTGTGTGTGTGTATATATACACACATGTACAAGCAGAAACACTGCAGCAGTGTTTACACCAAACACACACACACACACACACACACACACACACACAGACACACACACACACACACACACACACCACTGTTTACACTCAGAATCATGTGGGTCAGGACCTGAGTGGGGGACGTCTGTGTTATGTAAAGTTTGGTTTGTTTCGATCCTCGATACCGATTCTGATCCCACGATGATAAAACTTCTTTGTTTAGTTTAACGAACGACCTGAAGGACCAGATCCACGATACAAGAGACACAGATGAGTTTCCTCCGCAGGGCGTCCGGGCGTCTCCCTTAGAGACAGAGTGAGGAGCTCGGAGTAGAGCCGCTGCTCCTCCACGTGGAGAGGAGCGTCTGAGGGGAGGACGTCTGTTCTGACGTCTCCTGGACGTGTCCCTCAGGAGGTGTTCATGTTCCACCGGGAGGAGGAGACCCAGGACACACTGGAGGGACCATGTCTCTGGACTGGACTGGGAACACCTCAGGTCCCACTGGAGGAGCTGGAGGAAGTGTCTGGGGTGAAGGAAGGCTGGGAGACCCGACCCCAGAGAAGAAGAAGAAGAACATGGAGGATGTTCAGATTAAATCCTGTCATTTTCTACTTTAAATGTTTCTCTGCACATTTCTCTGATGTGACTCAGATGTTCAAACTTCTTCAGGTTCTTCATGGTTTTTCACATTTGTGATTCAGTGACGTGTGACGTGTCCTGACGCTCGCACGAGCCTCACACTCACTCAACATGGATCTGAATCGATTTTTAAATAAAATAATAATAACGATGAGGGACCTGACACACGAGGAGGTAGCACAGATCGATGGTGTGACCTGAGCCGAGCAGCAGAGCATGATGGGAAACCTCAGAGTCTAAAAATAGCGGCGAGTAAATCTGATTCTCATCGACCTGAAGACGCACGATGTCGTCCCAGAAGCACGGCCAATCAGACGCCCCCAAGAGCGTGACATCATCATCAGCATCAGCATCGTCATCATCATCATCAACATGATCATCAGCACTTCCCCGCAGCAGTGACATCATCGTGGTGACATCATCACAGTGACGTCGTGTGAACCTCGATGACGTCATCACTGTTCAGGAGAATCATGTGACGGAGTCAAGACGACGTCACAACTGCACAAAACCCAGAAACTAACACCAGACAGACCTGGTCTAGTCCTGGTCTAGACCTGGTTTAGTCCTGGTCTAGTCCTGGTCTAGTCCTGGTCTAGTCCTGGTCTAGTCTAGTCCTGGTCTAGTCCTGGTCTAGTCCTGGTCTAGAGTCCTGGTCTAGACCTGGTTTAGTCCTGGTCTAGTCCTGGTCTAGTCCTGGTCTTAGTCCTGGTCTAGTCCTGGTCTAGTCCTGGTCTAGTCCTGGTCTAGTCCTGGTCTAGTCCTGGTCTAGAGTCCTGGTCTAGGGTCCTGGTCTGAGTCCTGGTCTGTCCCTGGTGGTCTAGTCCTGGTCTAGTCCTGGTCTAGTCCTGGTTTAGTCCTGGTTTAGTCCTGGTCTAGTCCTGGTCTAGTCCTGGTTCCTGGTTTAGTCCTGGTCTAGTCCTGGTCTAGTCCTGGTTTAGTCCTGGTTTAGTCCTGGTCTAGTCCTGGTCTAGTCCTGGTCTGGTTTAGTCCTGGTCTAGTCCTGGTCTAGTCCTGGTTTAGTCCTGGTCTGGTTTAGTCCTGGTCCTGGTCTAGTCCTGGTTTAGTCCTGGTCTAGTCCTGGTTAGTAGTCCTGGTTTAGTCCTGGTTTAGTCCTGGTTTAGTCCTGGTCTAGTCCTGGTTTAGTCCTGGTTTAGTCCTGGTTTAGTCCTGGTTTAGTCCTGGTTTATGGAGCCTACAGAATCCAGGGCTTTGAACCTTTAAATCGTCTCTAAGATTTTGCATAAACGAGAGAAGAACAAAAACACAACAGATTAAAAATCTAATTATTCCTCAGAAAACTTCAAACTCGTGTCTGAGCGTCTGGATTTAACACGAGCTCACGTTTAGTTTGTGTCGGTTTTTCAGGTTAAATCTTCATCTTCAGATTCTGTGGATCAAACATCTACATGAGTCTGGTTCTGGGTCTGGGTCTGGGTCTGGGTCTGGTTCTGGGTCTGGTTCTGGTTCTGGACACTTGTGTTGGGCCCAAACACTGAAAATGTCTCTGATCAAGTCAAGATGTGAAAACTTCTGTCAGATTATTCATGTTGTTTCCAGATTTATGATAAAGTTACAGTCGTGTCGAGTTTTTTATTGGAGAAAACGCCGCATGAACAAAAACATTTCAACATTTCAACATTTTGAATTTTAAAATCATTTTCTGATCGATTTAAATGTTTATGTTTGACATTTCTGAAATAAAAGACTAAACACCTGCAAATGTTTTCTGACTTTTACTACAGAAAACTTTGAATTAAATCTAAACTGTAAATGTGTGAAAACAGAGACAAAAATCATTAAAAACATTAAATCTGTTTTCTGTGCGAGTTTGGATGGAGGTTGTTTTTAGTTGTTTTTAGTTGTTTTTAGTTGTTTTTCAAGTTTCAGAGCTGAAACTGAAGCACTTTTGTGTCTTTTCTCTCGTGACAGTTTCGGGGTCGAACATGAGCAGAATCCTGAGCAGAGCCACGAGCCGCTTCTTGTTTCCGTTCATCGTTTCAAACTTCAACATTTTAGTTTCAAACACGATTTAATCTGAATCAAAACTCACCCGAGGCTCCGGCGGAGTCCGGCCCGAGCAGAACCACCACGAACCCAACCAAGAACCGAAAAACAAACCACAAAACCCGCCGCATTTTGGCTCAAATCCCGATCCGAGCGGCGGAGCGGATCATCCCGAGCGCGCAGCCGGGAACAGGCGCCTGATCCCGGGGCACAAAAGTCCACAGGCCGGTCCAAAGTCCTAGGGCCCGGTCCGCGCGGTCCCGGTCCGGACTCTCGGTCCCGGGCGGGTTTAGTCTGAGCCCGGCGCTGGTTCTGTCCGCGCGGGGAAAGGTTCTGTTCTCACGGCTCCTCCCGAGACAAGTGTCCGCTCCAAGGACTACAGAAAGACCCGGGAAAAGACTACAAACACACACCGGAAACGGCTGACCGGAAACACGCGCCTTCACAATAAAAGCGGCGAATCAATCAATAAAACAGTGAAAATAAATAAATCAGTCTGATTTTTATTTTCTACTAAACCTGTGTCTGTCACAAAGTAAAACCTGCGCCACGTTTCATCAGGAAATAACTGAACAGAGCAAATATTTTCACATTTTTACATTTTCTCTCCAAACATCAACTTTGACTTTTACTTTAGCGGATTCACATTTGTGAGATATATTTTTTTATTGTTCTGTCTTTGTGTCGGAACATTTCAGACACTCGTCCCACATGGATTTATAGATTTAAACTTTAAGCTTTAAACTTTCATCTTTAAACTTTAAACTTTAAACTTTCATCTTTAAACTTTAAACTTTCATCTTTAAACTTTAAACTTTCATCTTTAAACTTTAAACTTTAAACTTTCATCTTTAAACTTTAAACTTTAAACTTTAAACTTTCATCTTTAAACTTTAGATTTGATTCTGCTGAATCCAAAACATGAGGCAGGTTCAGGTTCAGTCCGGTAGCGCCGCCCGCAGGGCCGCACCTGACACACAGCTGCACCTGACACACAGCTGCACCTGACACACAGCTGCACCTGACACACAGCTGCACCTGACACAGAACTGCACCTGACACACAGCTGCACCTGACACAGAGCTGCACCTGACACTGACACACAGCTGCAGACTGCACCTGACACACAGCTGCCACCTGACACACAGACTGGACACAGCTGCACCTGACACAGAACTGCACCTGACACACAGCTGCACCTGACACACACAGCTGCACCTGACACACAGACCTGCACCTGACACACACAGCTGCACCTGACACAGAGCTGCACCTGACACACACAGCTGCACACTGACACACAGCTGCACCTGACACAGAACTGACCTGACACATGCACCTGACACACAGCTGCACCTGACACAGAGCTGCACCTGACACACAGACTGCACCTGACACAGCTGCACCTGACACAGAGCTGCACCTGACACAGAACTGCACCTGACACACAGCTGCACACACACTGCACACACAGCAGCTGCACCTGACACACAGCACACAGCTGCACCTGACACAGAGCTGCACCTGACACACAGAACTGCACCTGACACACAGCTGCACCTGACACACAGACTGCTGCACCTGACACAGAACTGCACCTGACACACAGCTGCACACTGCACCTGACACAGAGCTGCACCTGACACACACTGCACCTGACACAGAACTGCACCTGACACAGAACTGCACCTGACACAGAACTGCTGCACACTGACACACTGCACCTGACACACAGCTGCACCTGACACAGATGCACCTGCACACACAGCTGCACCTGACACACTGCACAGAACTGCACCTGACACCTGACACAGAACTGCACCTGACACAGAACTGCACCTGACACACAGCTGCACACACAGCTGCACCTGACACAGACACACACAGCTGCACCTGCACCTGCACACACAGCTGCACCTGACACAGAGCTGACACACACCTGCACCTGACACAGCTGCACCTGACACAGATGACACATGCACACTGCACACTGACACACACTGCTGACACCTGACACAGAACTGCACCTGACACACAGACTGCACCTGACACACAGAACTGCACCTGACACAGCTGCACCTGCACTGCACCTGACACAGACCTGTGCACCTGACACAGAGGGACAGCACCTGTGACTGTGACTGGATCAGATTGATCGATGACGTCACTTTTACACGAGACAAACTCACCACATGAAACATCCTCAGTTTAAATGTTTGTTCATTTTGTTTTAGTTTCATTTTGTCTGATTGTTACATAAAGATTATAGATGATAGATGATAGATGATAGATTATAGATGATAGATTATAGATGATAGATGATAGATTATAGATGATAGATGATAGATGATAGATTATAGATGATAGATGATAGATGATAGATTATAGATGATAGATTATAGATGATAGATTATAGATGATAGATGATAGATATAGATTATAGATGATAGATGATAGATTATAGATGATAGATGATAGATTATAGATGATAGATTATAGATGATAGATGATAGATTATAGATGATAGATTATATATAGATGATATAGATTTAGATGATAGATTATAGATGATAGATATAGATGATAGATGATAGATGATAGATTATGATTATAGATTATAGATGATAGATTATAGATATAGATGATAGATATAGATGATAGATTATAGATAGATAGATTAGATTATAGATTATAGATTATAGATTATAGATATAGATGATAGATGATAGATTATAGATGATAGATTATAGATTATAGATGATATAGATGATATAGATGATAGATTATAGATTATAGATTATAGATGATGATAGATGATAGATTATAGATTATAGATTATAGATTATAGATTATAGATGATAGATTATAGATATAGATGATAGATTATAGATGATAGATGATAGATTATAGATGATAGATGATAGATATAGATTATAGATGATAGATGATAGATGATAGATGATAGATTATAGATTATAGATTATAGATGATAGATGATAGATTATGATAGATGATAGATTATAGATTATAGATTATAGATGATAGATTATAGATTATAGATTATAGATGATAGATTATAGATGATAGATGATAGATTATAGATGATAGATTATAGATTATAGATGATAGATGATAGATGATAGATGATAGATGATAGATGATAGATGATAGATTATAGATTAGATAGATGATAGATGATAGATTGATAGATGATATAGATGATAGATTATAGATGATAGATGATAGATTATAGATGATAGATATAGATATAGATTATAGATGATAGATTATAGATTATAGATGATAGATGATAGATGATAGATGATAGATTATAGATGATAGATTATAGATTATAGATGATAGATGATAGATGATAGATGATAGATGATAGATGATAGATGATAGATTATAGATGATAGATGATAGATTATAGATTATAGATTATAGATTATAGATGATAGATTATAGATGATAGATATAGATATAGATATAGATTAGATGATAGATGATGATAGATGATAGATATAGATTATAGATGATAGATGATATATAGATTATAGATTATAGATGATAGATGATAGATTATAGATGATAGATGATAGATGATAGATATAGATGATAGATGATAGATGATAGATTATAGATGATAGATTATAGATGATAGATGATAGATGATAGATGATAGATTATAGATTATAGATTATAGATGATAGATTATAGATAGATTATAGATTATAGATGATAGATTATAGATGATAGATTATAGATGATAGATGATAGATTATAGATGATAGATGATAGATTATAGATTATAGATTATAGATTATAGATGATAGATTATAGATGATAGATGATAGATTATAGATGATAGATGATAGATGATAGATGATAGATGATATAGATGATAGATGATATAGATTATAGATTATAGATGATTATAGATGATAGATGATAGATTAGATTATATATAGATGATAGATTATAGATTAGATAGATGATAGATATAGATTAGATGATATAGATGATAGATTATAGATGATAGATGATAGATGATGATATAGATGATAGATGATATAGATGATAGATTATAGATAGATGATAGATGATAGATTATAGATGATAGATTATAGATGATAGATATAGATTATAGATTATAGATGATAGATTATAGATGATAGATTATAGATTATAGATGATAGATTATAGATGATAGATTATAGATGATAGATGATAGATTATAGATGATAGATTATAGATGATATAGATGATAGATGATATAGATGATAGATGATATAGATTATAGATGATAGATGATAGATTTAGATAGATGATGATATAGATGATAGATGATAGATTATAGATTATATAGATGATGATAGATGATAGATGATATAGATTATAGATGATAGATGATAGATATAGATTATAGATGATAGATTATAGATGATTAGATGATAGATTATAGATATAGATGATAGATGATAGATTATAGATTATAGATGATAGATTATAGATGATAGATTATAGATTATAGATGATAGATGATAGATATAGATGATAGATTATAGATGATAGATTATAGATTATAGATTATAGATTATAGATTATAGATTTATATGTATAAATATAAATGTCTCTCCTCTTTCCTGTGAACTGGTTTGTAACATTTGCTCTTTTATTCTGTTTCTGTTTTTTGTTTTTGTGTCACATTTTTGTGTTTCTGTAAAAACAACAAAAAATACATTAAATAATAATAATAAAAACAATAATAATAATAATAATGCTGTTTATAGTTGGTTTAGTTCTGGTTTAGTCCTGGTTTAGTCCTGGTCTAGTCCTGGTCTAGTTGATGTTTTTTGTTTGAGCCTGGGGGAAGTTCTTGGTGAATCCGTTTGGACCTGATCAGATCTCGTCCAGAATAAAAAACACGACCAGAGGGAAGAAGAAGAAGAAGAAGAAGAAGAAGAAGAAGGGGTCCTGGGCCCCTGGAGGAGTCCCGGGTCTGACCGGAGCTCCAGGTCCAGGTCATGTTCCTCATTTACACTTTAAATATTGAACCTGATTAAAACATCGTAAACTGTAAAATATGTTTATTTCAATATTTTGATGATAAAAGGTTTAGTTTGGTTCTCAGACCTGGTCTAGTCCTGGTTCAGTCTTGATCTGGTCCTGGTTTAGTCCTGGTCTAGTCCTGGTTTAGTCCTGGTCTAGTCCTGACCTTGGATTTGCTGCAGTGTGACGTAATCCACGGATTTTAATCAAAGTCGCAATAAATCATGTTTACGACCAACGGCACAAAAACAGCACTGAACCAGGACTAAAAAAGGACTAAACCAGGACTAGACCAGGACTAAACCAGGACTGAACCAGGACTAGACCAGGACTAAACCAGGACTGAACCAGGACTAAAAAAGGACTAAACCAGGACTAAACCAGGACTGAACCAGGACTAAAAAAGGACTAAACCAGGACTAAACCAGATCTAAACCAGGACTAGACCAGGACTAAACCAGGACTGAACCAGGACTAAAAAAGGACTAAACCAGGACTAAACCAGATCTAAACCAGGACTAAACCAGGAGCTTTGATGGTTTTGTGTCATGTTTAAGTTTGAAGGAAAAGTCTGATTCAAACTGAACTTTTCACTTTTATTTATTTATTTCAAATTAAAAACTGTAAAAAAACATTTGAAATATTTGAGTCTCAGATTCACAAAAAAGTAAAAAAAACTCACAAACTTTAATCTTTTTCACTGGACGAGATCTGGACCTGTTCACACTGGGCCTGTTCACACTGGGCCTGTTCACACTGGGCCTGTTCACACTGGGCCTGTTCACACTGGACCTGTTCACACTGGACCTGTTCACACTGGGCCTGTTCACACTGGACCTGTTCACACTGGGCCTGTTCACACTGGGCCTGTTCACACAGTGGTCATGAGTGTGAAGGTTCCGTTCTTCATCCTCTGGATTTTCTTCTTCAGGTTCTGAGAGGCTTTTATTCTGACGAGCTGCTGCCTCCTGGCCCCGCCCCTTCCTGTCTCCTCCTCGGCCCCGCCCTCCTCGCCGCGGCGCTCCTCTCTGATTGGCCGCCTGCAGTGCTCCTGTGATGTCACCGCTCTGCCGCTCCATGATTGGCCGAGACTCGTCCTGGGTTTGACCAAAGACGTCGTCCACGAGCTCGCTGAAGAAGAGAAGAAGAACACAGACTCAGAACCTCAGAACATCAAAACATCAAAACCTCAGGACGTCAGAACCTCAGAACATCAGAACGTCAGAACCTCAGGACGTCAGAACCTCAGGACGTCAGAACCTCAGAACATCAGAACGTCAGAACCTCAGGACGTCAGAACCTCAGAACATCAGAACGTCAGAACCTCAGAACATCAAAACCTCAGGACGTCAGAACCTCAGGACGTCAGAACATTTTTATTTATTTTTATAAAATTGGTAATGAAGTGAAAAAACCTGAAACTGAGAAAAGCAAAAATCAAATATGAAAAAGAATCAAAGAAACGTGAGTCAGAGTCAGAGTCAGATCACAGCGTCCATCACTGAGTCAGTGTCTTCATGTGAGGACACCACAGAGAACATCTCCAGAAAGTGACACTGGAGTTTGTCACGATGCAGAAGGACAAACCACAAAACCTCTGGGAGAATCTTCTTTGGACATGAGACAAAACTGGAGACACATCAGCTCCATGTTCACAGACCAAGAGAAGAACTGTGTCCCACTGAGAAGCTTTAGGAGGAGCTTTGGTTCTGGAGGAGCTTTGGTTCTGGAGGAGGTTTGGTTCTGGAGGAGGTTTGGTTCTGGAGGAGCTTTGGTTCTGGAGGAGGTTTGGTTCTGGAGGAGCTTTGGTTCTGGAGGAGCTTTGGTTCTGGAGGAGCTTTGGTTCTGGAGGAGGTTTGGTTCTGGAGGAGCTTTGGTTCTGGAGGAGATTTGGTTTGGTTCTTGTTTTTCTGTTTGTGTAAAAATATAAAGTTAAAGAAACATCACTTTAGTCCAGAACTGTTTCATTATTTTGTTTTTTCTAATATTTCTGTTGAACCTCACGTGAAGAACAATGTTTGATTTTTGTTGAACAATTTTTTTTAATTTTTGCTTTTCTCAGTTTCAGTTTATTTCAGTGATGATGTTGATTTTTCTTTCATTATCAGAAGAAACAATAATCTGACCTGACTGACCTGAGCACGACCTGACTGAAGCTCTGTCCTCTCGGTTCCTCCTCTGTTCTTCTGGGTTCCTCCTCTGTTCTTCTGGGTCTCTTCTTCTGGACAGGATTTTATTTTTATTTTCCAAAGTGAAAAGTTCCTTGTTGGTGATGAAACTGTTTTCAGATTTAAAACGTTTCCTGTGGCTCCTGGACTTGGTGTTGTCCATGTGTGACCTCCTCTGGACCATCTCGTCTCCACACCTCAGGTCCGTCTTCTGCCTCAGGTCCGTCTTCAGCTGAGCGTCAGAGTTTTTGTTTGTTGTGGTTTTGCGTCTGTGTGTTTCTTGAGCTGAAGTTCCTCTGCTGAAGGTCAGATGTTCCTCAGACCTGCCCTGGTTCTCTCTGGGTTCTCCTTCTGTGTCTGGACCAAAAACGACCACAGAGGGAGGAGCAGAGGGAGGAGCAGAGGGAGGAGCAGAAGGAGGAGCAGAAGGAGGAGCAGAGGAGGAGCAGTGGGAGGAGCAGAGGGAGGAGCAGTGGGAGGAGCAGAGGGAGGAACAGTGGGAGGAGCAGAAGGAGGAGCAGTGGGAGGAGCAGAGGAGGAGCAGAGGGAGGAACAGTGGGAGGAGCAGAAGGAGGAGCAGTGGGAGGAGCAGAAGGAGGAGCAGAGGGAGGAACAGTGGGAGGAGCAGTGGGAGGAGCAGGGAGGACAGTGGGAGCAGAGGGAGGAGCAGAAGGAGGAGCAGTGGGAGGAGCAGAGGGAGGAGGAAGCAGAGGGGAGGAGTGGGAGGAGCAGTGGGAGGAGCAGTGGGAGGAGCAGAGGGAGGAACAGTGGGAGGAGCAGAGGGGGAGCAGTGGGAGGAGCAGAGGAGGAGCAGAGGGAGGAGCAGTGGGAGGAGCAGTGGGAGGAGCAGAGGGAGGAGCAGTGGGAGGAGCAGTGGGAGGAGCAGTGGGAGGAGCAGTGGGAGGAGTCTGGGTCAGACTGTGACGTCCGGATTCGTCTGAAACAGAAAATAAAGAAAATCAAAAATCGCTGGAGTTTCTTTCTAAATGTTCTGAGATTCTGGGTCAGGACCAATCACAGAGCAGCTTTGTGGACGGGGCGGAGCCACGCACTGAGGCGCAGGTGTCACCTTTCGGGGGGTTTTAGGGTCTCACCTGTCAGAGGGGGCGGGGTCTCCAGCTCGAGGGCGGAGCAAAGGCTGAACACCGAGTTTGAGAGCGACGCCCCCTCGACGTCGTCATAGAAACCTGAACAAAACAAACGTTACACACGAGAACGAACGGGGAGGCACGGGGAGGGCATCTGACACAATCTGACACACGGGGAGGGCATCTGGTTCAGTACCGGAGCTGGGGCGGCTCTCGGGGGCGGGGCTCTGGAGGGCGTGGCTCTCGGGGGCGTGGCTCTCAGGGGCGGGGCTCTCGGGGGCGGGGCTCTCGGGGGAGTCACGTGGTCTGGGGGGCGGGTCATGTGACCGGTCAGCGTCCAATCGCAGCTCGAGGATCTGATGCTCCAAGTCCTGGATCTGAGACAAAAGTCCAGAGTCTCGAGTCCTCAGAGACGTCTGCAACAAGACCAGAGATAAACCGGGTCAGGACCAGAGAAAGACCCAGTTTAGACCAGAGAAAGACCAGGTCAGGACCAGGTTTAAAGTCTCATGTGACTCTTCTGTGGTGAAGGTTCTGAGGTTTTTGTTGAACGTGTCCAGAGTCTCAGAGACACAAGAACAGAACGACACGAGTCACTCAAGTCTATCCCCGCGCTCCAGGTCAGGTCCTGATCTGGTCCGGGTCGGGTCTTAATCTGGTCCTGATCTGGTTGCAGTTTGCAGCAGGATGTTTTGTTTGGGACCTGATGACATCATCAACTTCATCATAAACGTGATGATACAAGAAAAAAACTCACAACCTCCTCTGACCTCTGACCCCCCTGACCCCCCTGACCCCCTGACCCCCCCGACCCTCTGACCCTCACATCATCCAGGACCAGGACCGTGGTCTGGACTTGGTCTGGACTAACCAGTTGTTCCTGGAGCTGCAGGTTCTCGTCCTGGTCCTCGTGGTTCTGGTCCTTGTGGTTCTGGTCCTCGTGGTTCTGGTCCCTGTGGTTCTGGTCGGGGTTCAGTTCTGGTTCTTGTGGATTCAGACCGGTCTTCAGGAGGACTCCCTGAGGGTCTAAGACGGACTGGACCAGGACTTTCTGACAGACTCGTCTCTGGTCCAGGTCTTGGAGGGACCTGAGGACCAGACGCAGACGCTCGTGCACGTGAGTCCTCGTGCACAACATCAGTCCTGGTTTAGTCCTGGTTTAGTCCTGGTTCAGTCCTGGTTCAGTCCTGGTTCAGTCCTGGTTTAGTCCTGGTTCAGTCCTGGTCTCTGGTGTGTTTTGCTCAAGGACACAGCATCAGTCGCAGCGGGAGTCACTCCGACACTTTCACTGTTTCACTGTGACACAGTTTAAGTCCCGAGTCTGGACCCGGTTTGGTTCATTCGGGCCAAAAGTCCCGGGTCCGTCCGGGTCACCTCCAAAGATCCTCCCCCCTTCCCGGTCCCCCCGTCCCGGACCCGCGGCTCGTGAGCCACAGAACCACAGAACCGCGTCCTGCACAGTCTCGCCGCTGCTGCGCGCTCCTCCTCGGCTTCAGTCCTGGTTTAGTTCTGGTTTAGTCCTGGTTTAGTCCGGGTTTAGTCCGGGTCTCGTCTTGTCTCGGTTCGGTTCGGGTCCGCGTCAGTCCCGGGTCTGTGCTCCGGTGTCCGTCACACGCGCCTCTCTCCGGTGCGTGTATGTGTGCGCGTGCGCGTGTGTGCGGGGGGGTCCGCTCCTCCTCCCCCCGAAGCCACGCCTCCGCCGCACGTGCACGCGCCTCGCAGATAAAGCAGTACGTGCACGCGGGACGCGTTTCACCGAAGAGTCAGAGTCACGTGCGCGTGAAAAACACGAATCAAAAACACGAACAGAATTTATAGTTTTTATCCACGAGACTTTTTACACATGAAGATTTTACACATGATCGTGATTTTAATGATTTTATAGATTTGATGAGTTTGTGTTTGTGGCTTTGACCTTTGACCCTTGAGTCAGACTCAGACATAAATAATAATAATAATAATAATAATAATAATAATAATAAAGTTTGATCAGATTCCAGAGGAAAAAGTCGAGCTCGTCTCAAATTTTTATTCAAACATAAAACAAAACATCAAATGTTCAAGTTCAGAAAACGTCACTGGACGAGTCCGACCCCACAGCGCCCTCTGCTGGCGACGGCACAAACACCTCCACCTTCATCACCGCAGAGCCTCCCTCTCCCCAGACGCCTCCTCCAGCTCCTCCAGACGCCTCCTCCAGCTCCTCCATCTCCCCAGACGCCTCCTCCAGCTCGTCCGTCTTGACCTGGAACAGAGACGTTGGGTCAGACCCTCTGAGTTCTGATCGAGAGTTTAATAAACTCAACACGGCGTGTGGACCAATCAGAGCGCGGCGTTTGGACCAATCAGAGGGCGTTTGGACCAATCAGAGCGCGGCGTGGGGCGTGTGGACCAATCAGAGCGCGGCGTGGGGCGTGTGGACCAATCAGAGCGCGGCGTGTGGACCAATCAGAGTGCGGCGTGGAGCGGCGAGGCTCAGTGTGACAGAGACACTTTAGGAGCCACAAGGATTTAAACATTTAAAAAGTTTATGAAGTGAAAATAGAAAAAAAATCATTAAAAACCGAAACTGGAGCCTGAAAGAACACGACAGGTGAAGAACACGACAGGTGAAGAACACGACAGGCGAAGAACACGACAGGCGAAGAACACGACAGGCGAAGAACACGACAGGTGAAGAACACGACAGAACACGAAGAACACGACAGGCAAAGAACACGAACAGACGAAGAACGACAGAACACGACAGGCGAAGAACACGACAGGTGAAGAACACGACAGGCGAAGAACACGACAGGCGAAGAACACGACAGGCGAAGAACACGACAGGTGAACAACACGACAGGCGAAGAACACGACAGGCGAAGAACACGACAGGCGAAGAACACGACAGGTGAAGAACACGACAGGCGAAGAACACGACAGGCGAAGAACACGACAGGCGAAGAACACGACAGGTGAAGAACACGACAGGTGAAGAACACGACAGGTGAAGAACACGACAGGTGAACTCCCATGATGCTTTGTGCCTCTGGAGAATCTGAATCCAAATGATGAATCTGATCATTTCTGTCACAAACTCTGCACTATATGTGTTTAGACCTGGTTTAGTCCTGGTTTAGTCCTGGTTTAGACCTGGTCTAGACCTGGTTTAGTCCTGGTTTTAGACCTGGTTTAGTCCTGGTTTAGTCCTGGTTTAGTCCTGGTTTTAGACCTGGTTTAGTCCTGGTTCAGTTCTGGTCATGTGGTCTGTCTCGTCTCTCGTCTCTTGGTTGTCTCCATGGTAACCCCTCCCACGCCGTCTCCGTGGAAACTCCCTGGTGAAGTTTGGATGCGGTCGTCATGGAAACTCCCTGTTCTCCTCCAGGAAACGACTGACGGTCCGACCGGCGCCCCACAGACAGAACCACTGACAGAACCACTGACAGAGCCCAACAGAACCACTGACAGAACCCACCAGAACCACAGACAGAACCACTGACAGAATCACAGACAGAACCACTGACAGAACCACAGACAGAACCACAGACAGAACCACAGACAGAACCACAGACAGAACCACAGACAGAACGTTTCCTGAATGTGTTTAGAACTGGAGCTGGATCAGAACAAGTGTAAGAGACAGAGACTAGAACACACATGGACCAGACCAGGACTAAACCAGGACTAAACCAGGACTAAACCAGAACTGAACCAGAACTGAACCAGGACTAAACCAGAACTGAACCAGGACTAAACCAGGACTAAACCAGAACTAAACCAGAACTGAACCAGGACTAAACCAGAACTGAACCAGGACTAAACCAGGACTAAACCAGAACTAAACCAGAACTGAACCAGGACTAAACCAGGACTAAACCAGGACTAAACCAGAACTGAACCAGGACTAAACCAGGACTAAACCAGAACTAAACCAGGACTAAACCAGGACTAAACCAGAACTAAACCAGGACTAAACCAGGACAAGACCAGACAGGGTTTAACTTTGGTGTAAATCAGAGCTTTCACTTTCAACTCAGTGCTCAATAATAACACAAAATCCTCATGTAGTCGTGGTCCGGTCCGGGTCTGGTCCTGGTCTGGTCCTGGTCTGGTCCTGGTCTGTCAGGTTCATGTGAGCTTGGCGCCCTCTGCTGGACACAAGAGGGCAGTGTCCTCACCATTTCCCTGAGGAGTCTCTGGGTCCTGGGTTCGGTCCTGGTCCTGGTTCTGGTCCTGGGTCCGGTCCTGGTCCTGGGTTCGGTCCTGGTCCTGGGTTCGGTCCTGGGTCCGGTCCTGGTCCTGGGTTTGGTCCTGGTCCTGGTCCTGGTCTAGTTCCAGATCAGAGGTGGGTTTGGGGCAGACTGGAGCTGGAGTCTGAGGAAACAACAACATTTTATTTCAGACTTTTGGGATCAAATCTTTTCTCAGATTTGGACAAAAAAAAAAAAAAAAAAAAAAAGACGTTTGATCAAGAGAAAAGATTTACAAAAATCACAAAATAAAATAAAATAAAATAAAAGAGAATAAATGAAAAATCACCTGCGGCAGGTGAGAGTCGAGCAGGTCAGAGGTCAGCAGCCCCTCAGACACAGCGCTCTGATTGGTCCACTCCAGAACATCCCCTGAACACATGAACACGTGAACATGTGAACATGAACATGTGAACATGGACACGTGAACATGAACACATGAACACGTGAACATGTGAACATGAACACACGAGTGAACACATGAGTGAACACATGAGTGAACACATGAGTGAACACATGAACATGAACATGAGAACATGAACATGTGAACATGTACACATGAACATGTGAACATGAACACATGAACATGTGAACATGAACACATGAACATGAACACGTGAACATGAACACGTGAACATGAACACGTGAACATGAACACATGAACATGAACACATGAACATGAACACGTGAACATGAACATGTGAACATGAACACATGAACATGAACATGAACATGTGAACATGAACACATGAACATGAACACGTGAACATGAACATGTGAACATGAACACATGAACACGTGAACATGAACATGTGAATATGAACACATGAACATGAACACATGAACACATGAACATGTGAACACATGAACATGAACACATGAACATGAACACATGAACACGTGAACATGAACATGTGAACATGAACACATGAACATGAGAACATGAACATGTGAACATGAACACATGAACACGTGAACATGAACATGTGAACATGAACACATGAACATGTGAACATGAACACATGAACATGTGAACATGAACACGTGAACATGAACACACGAGTGAACACATGAGTGAACACATGAGTGAACACATGAGTGAACACATGAACAAGAACATGTGAACATGAACACATGAACATGTACACATGAACATGTGAACATGAACACATGAACACGTGAACATGAACACATGAACACGTGAACATGAACACACGAGTGAACACACGAGTGAACACATGAGTGAACACATGAGCGCGCGTTCTGACCTGTGATTGGACTGGCCTGTCCTGGAGATCTCTCCTGATTGGTCACATCTTTGATCAGGTCGTCTCGGATTTCGCCAGCGCTCACTTCCTCTTCCTCCTCTAAGCCCCGCCCCCATGAGCCCTGCAGGTCAAAGGTCAGACTTCACTTTCACATCGTCTCTTTACATCACATCATCTGCAGTGTCTTGCCCAAGGACACAAAGACAGAACCTGAATCAATAAAACTCTGGTGATCTCCAGAGCTGTGCCACTGGGGGCGGGGTTTACCTCGAGCTGGGGGCGGGGTTTACCACGGGTTGGGGGGGGGTTTACCTCGGGTTGTGTGCGGGGTTTACCTTGAGCTGGGGGCGGGGCTTACCTCGGGTTGTGGGCGGGGCTTACCTCGGGCTGGGGGCGGGGCTTACCTCGGGCTTGGGGCGGGGTGTACCTCGGGCTGGGGGCGGGGTGTACCTCGGCTGGGGGCGGGTGTACCTCGGCTGGGGCGGGTGTGGGGCGGGGTGTACCTCGGGCTGGGGCGGGTGTACCTCGGGCTGGGGGCGGGTTACCTCGGGCTGGGGGGGGTTTACCTCGGGCTGGGGGCGGGGTTTACCTCGGGCTGGGGGCGGGGCTTACCACGGGTTGGCGGGGGGGTTTACCTCGGGCTGGGGGCGGGGCTTACCTCAGGTTGTGGGCGGGGCTTACCTCGGGCTGGGGGCGGGGCTCTCTTTGCTGCATCTTGGTGATGAAGTTGAGTAAAATGCTGCTGCAGCGAATCTGCCCAACACTCGGGGGGTCAGGGTCCTGCAGGAGGGAGGAGAGTTTAGCTTCAGGTTTCACCTGTGACAGGAGCAGACTGACAGGCGCAGTGGTCCTGTCTGCACCTGTCAGTGTCTGAGAGACTCACCATGTCCTGGAGCTCGTGCAGGGAGCTGGAGAAACTGCAGCCGTCGTCTGGAACCAAACAAAAACAAAACCAACATCAGAAATCTGAACAAACAGCTGACGCTCTCACAGAGTGCACTTTAAAAACTCAGAGGAGCACGTTTGGATCGATCAGAGACTGAACCCAGAGTGTGTCCACTGTGAGGACGCAGGAGGACACACAGGAGGATGCAGGAGGACGCAGGGGGACACACAGGAGGACACAGAGGGACGCAGGAGGACACAGGGGGATGCAGGAGGACACACAGGAGGACACAGGAGGACACAGGGGGATGCAGGAGGACCCAGAGGGACACAGGAGGACGCAGGGGGACACAGGAGGACGCAGGAGGACCCAGAGGGACACAGGAGGACGCAGGGGGACACAGGAGGACGCAGGGGGACACACAGGAGGACACACAGGAGGACACAGGAGGATGCAGGGGGACACACAGGAGGACACACGGGGACACAGGAGGATGCAGGGGGACACAGGGGGACGCAGGGGGACACAGGAGGACGCAGGAGGACACACGGGGACACAGGAGGACCCAGAGGGACACAGGAGGACGCAGGGAGACACAGGAGGACGCAGGGGGACACACAGGAGGACACACAGGAGGACACAGGAGGACACACGGGGACACAGGAGGATGCAGGGGGACACAGGGGGACACAGGAGGACACACAGGAGGACACAGGGGGACACAGGAGGACGCAGGGGGACACAGGAGGACGCAGGGGGACACACAGGAGGACACAGAGGGACACAGGAGGACACACAGGAGGACACAGGAGGACACACAGAGGGACACAGGAGTACACAGGAGGACACAGGGGGACACAGGGGGACACAGAGGGACACAGGAGGACACAGGGGGACACACAGGAGGACACAGGAGGACACAGGGGGACACAGGAGGACACAGAGGGACACAGGAGGACACAGAGGGACACAAGGGGGCACACAGGAGGACACAGAGGGACACATGAGGACGCAGGGGGACACAGAGGGACACAGGAGGACACAGGAGGACACAGGGGGACACAGAGGGACACAGAGGGACACAGGAGGACGCAGGGGGACACAGGAGGACACAGAGGGACACAGGAGGACACAGGAGGACACAGGAGGGGACACAGGAGGGAGGACACAGGACACAGGAGGACACAGGAGGACACAGGAGGACACAGGAGGACACAGAGGGACACAGGAGGACACAGGAGGACACAGGAGGACGACACAGGAGGACACAGGAGGACACAGGAGGGACACACAGGAGGACACAGGAGGGACACAGAGGGACACAGGAGGAGGACACAGGAGCACACAGGACACAGGACACAGGACACAGGAGGACACACACAGGGGACACACAGGAGGACACAGGAGGACACAGAGGGACACAGGAGGACACAGCAGGGGACACAGACACAGGAGGACGAGGGGACACACACACAGAGGACACAGAGGGGGACACAGGAGGACACAGGGGGACACAGGAGGACGGACACAGGGGACACAGGGGACACACAGGAGGAGGGGCACAGAGGGGACACACAGGAGGACACAGAGGGACACAGGGGGACACACAGGAGGGACACACAGGAGGACACAGGAGGGACACAGAGGACACAGGAGACACAGGAGGACACAGAGGGACACAGGAGGACACAGAGGACACAGACACAGGAGGGACACAGGGGACACAGAGGGGAGGACAGGGGGACACAGGAGGACACAGGAGGACACAGGAGGACACAGAGGGGACACAGGACACAGGGACACAGGAGGACATGCAGTACCGTGTGTGTCCTGCAGGTGGCGCAGGCTCAGCAGCAGTTCTCCCTCTGAGATGTGTCTGTAGGCCGAGTGAGTCACTTCTGAGGAAGACGAGGAGGAGGGGGGGGTGGAGGAGGAGGAGGGGGAGGAGGCGTCTGGAGGAGAGGGAGGCCCGAAGGGAGGGGGGGAGGGGACAGGGGCGGGGGTGGGGTTAGGGGCGGAGACAGGGGGAGGGGGGGTCCTGGGAGAGAAAGAGCGAGGGGGGGGGTTAGATCTGGACAGAACTGAAGTGTTTCAGACGACGACCACCAGGGGGCGACTCACTCTGACTCCGCCTCCTCCTCGGCCAATGGCGGCTCGCCGTCGGGACGTGTGACCGGGGGAGTGAGAGGGGGCGTGGCTACAGGCTCAGGGGGTGTGTCCTCCTTCATGTCGGGCCGATCCGTGGGCGGCGGCGGCGGTGTGGGTGCGGGCGTGGCTACAGGAGAGATGGGCGGAGTCTGCGAGGCGGGGGGCGGAGTGTGGACGGGGGTGAGGTCAGGGGTCACCACCTGCTGGACAAAACAGAACACAACAATACACAACAGAACACAAGAGAACACAAGAGAACACACACTTTAATGTGAGTTATAAAGCACTTTAAACACTTTACAACCAAAGTGCTGAACACAAACATCGACTAGAAAATCACACAACACGAACACAACACAACACAACACAACACAACACAACACAACACAACACAACACAACACAACACAAACACAACACAACACAACACAACACAAACACAACACAACACACAAACACAACACAACACAACACAACACAACACAACACAACACAACAGAACACAACACAACACAAACACAACACAACACAACACAACACAACACAACACAACACAACACAACACACAACGAACACAACACAACACAACACAACACAACACAACACAACACAACACACAACACAACACAACACAACACACAACACAACACAACACACAACACAACACAAACACAACACAACACAACACAACACAACACAAACACAACACAACCACAACACAACAACAACACGAACACAACACACCGAACACACACACAACACAACACAACTACAACACAACACACAACACAACACAACACAACACAACACAACACAACACAACACAACACAACACAACACAACACAACACAACCACAAACACAACACAACCAACACAACACAACACAACACAACCACAACCAACACACACACAACACAACCACAAACACAACACAACACAACCACACAACACAACACAACACAACACAACACAACACACACAACACAACACAACACAACACAACACAACACAACACAACACAACACAACACAACACAACACAACACACACAACACAACACAACACAACACAACACAACACAACACAACACAACACAACTACAACACAACCACAACACAACCACAACACAACACAACACAACACAACACAACACACACACACAACACAACACAACACAACACAACACAACACAACACAACACAACACAACTACAACACAACCACAACACAACACAACACACACAACACAACACACAACACAACACAACACAACACAACACAACACAACACAACAAACACAACACACACCACACAACACAACACAAACTACAACACAACCACAACACAACCACAACACGAACACAACACAACACACACACACAACACAACACAACACAACCAAACACAACCACACAACACAACACAACACAACACAACACAACACCACACAACACAACAACACAACACAACACAACACAACACAACACAACACAACACAACCACAACACAAACACAACACAACACAACACAACACAACACAACACAACACAACACACAACACAACACAACAACACAACACAACACAACACAACACAACACAACACAACACAACACAACACACACAACACAACACAACACAACACAACACAACACAACACAACACAACACTACAACACAACCACAACCGAACACAACACGAACACAACACAACCACAACACAACACAACACAACTACAACACAACCACAACACAAACACAACACAACACAACACAACACAACACAACACAACACAACACAACACAACACAACACAAACACAACACAACGAACACAACACAACTACAACACAACCACAACACAACACAACACAACACAACACAACACAACACAACACAACACGAACACAACACAAACACAACACGAACACAACACAAACACAACACAACACAACACAACAAACACAACACAACACACACAACACAACACAACACAACCACAACACAACACAACACAACACAACAACAAACACAACACACTACAACACAACACAACACAACACAACACAACACAACACAACACAACACAACACAACACAACACAACTACAACACAACACAACACAACACAACACAACACAACACAACACAACACAACTACAACACAACACAACACGAACACAACACAACACACAACACAACACAACATACAACACAACCACAACACAACCACAACACAACAAACACACAACCACAACACAACACAAACACAACACAACCACAACACAACACAACACAACACAACACAACACAACACAACACAACACAACACAACACAACACAACTACAACACAACACAACAACAACCACAAACACAACCACAACACAACAAACGCACAACACAACACAACACAACACAACACAACACAACACAACACAACACAACACAACACAACACAACACAACACAAACCACAACACAACACAACACAACACAACACAACAACACAACACAACACAACACAACACAACACAACACAACACAACACAACACAACACAACACAACACAACACACACAACACACACAACACACAACACAAACACAACACAACACAACACAACACAACACAACACAACACAACACAACACAACACAACACACAACACAACACAACACAACACAACACAACACAACACAACAACACAACACAACACAACACAACACAACACAACACAACACAACACAAACACAACACAACACAACACAACACAACACAACACAACACACACACACAACACAACACAACACAACACAACACAACACAACACGAACACAACACAACACAACACAACACAACACAACACAACACAACACAACACAACACAAACACAACACAACACAACACAACACAACACAACACAACACAACACAACACAACACAACACAACACAACACAACCACAACACAACACAACACAACACAACACGAACACAACACAACACACAACCACAACACAACACACAACACAACACACAACACAACACAACACAACACAACACGAACACAACACAACACAACACAACACAACACAACACAACACAACACAACACAACACAACACAACACAACACAACACAACACACACAACACAACACAACACAACACAACACACACGAACACAACACAACACAACACAACACAACACAACACAACACGAACACAACACAACCACAACACACACACAACACAACACGAACACAACACAACCACAACACAACACAACACAACACAACACAACACAACACAACACAAACACAACACAACTACAACACAACCACAACACGAACACAACACGAACACAACACAACACAACACAACACACAACACAACACAACACAACACAACACAACCACAACAAAACCACAACACAACAGGAACACAACACAACCACAACACAACACAACTACAACCACAACACAACACAACACAACTACAACACAACTACAACACAACCACAACACAACCACAACACAACCACAACACGAACACGAACACAACACAACCACAACACAAACACAACACAACTACAACACAACCACAACACGAACACGAACACAACACAACACAACACAACCACAACACAACACAACTACAACACAACCACAACAAAACCACAACACAACAGGAACACAACACAACCACAACACAACACAACTACAACCACAACACAACACAACACAACTACAACACAACTACAACACAACCACAACACAACCACAACACAACTACAACACGAACACAACACAACTACAACACAATTACCGTATTTTCCACACTATAGGTCGCAGGCGGATTGACTGTGTCTCGCTCCTTCTGAGTACAGAGAGCTACTTGTACGGACCAATGTTTGGTCACGCTACACACAGCAACCTGCATTCGGTTTGTCGATTAAAATTTACATAATCGATGAAATTCTTAATGATCAATTATCAATTAATCCACTAATCATGCCCATCCCTACCGTGAACGCCACAAACAAACAAAACCACTCACCCATCCAACTGTTGGGTTTCCTTTAAAGTCCCACGCCGTTTATTTGTGAAAAAAGTTCAAAAATAAACCATTTAATGACAGAGTGACTTATAATCCAGAGAGACTAATAATGCGAAAAAAAAACTGTACTAAAAAACACAAAAGGATAAGATACTCGACAACAAGAAATGTGTTTGTGATTTCAGCCACACAGGATTTGAACCGAGTCTAATCCAAATAACCCTGAGCAAAATTTCTCTGGAAACACTAAGATTTCACTCACAGAACAGACAGAACACACAGAACATGCAGCTGTTTCTGGAGTCAAACTATAAAAACAAGGTCAGGCTAACGGCTAGAACACCTGACACAGATCCGGCAGCCCACACGACACAGATGCAGTAACACACATGACGCAGATCCGGCAGCACATGTGACGCAGATCTGGCACAGCCTGAATCCTTTGAGCCGCCACTTTGTGCACAGGCGGACATTTTGTTTCCGCTTACCTCCAGAGGCTCTGATTGGCTCGGCTCCGCTGGTTCCGGCTCTCCTCCCGGGTCAGATCCTGGCTCGGTTCTTGGTCCGGTCTCTGGTTCCTGGGACTCTCTGGACCCCAGGAACAGAGCCACGATCTCAGTCAGGACCTCCAAGACCAGACCACGGACCTCCTCTGGGTCCAGGTTTAGTCCAGACTGAACCTCCAGCTGCAAACCAGAGTCTGCAGGATCTGAGGGTCAGAACAAGAGGGACTAAAGCAGGACTAAAGCAGGACTAAACCAGGACTAAAGCAGGACTAAAGCAGGACTGAACCAGGTTTAAAGCAGGACTAAAGCAGGACTAAACCAAACTAAAGCCGGACTCACTGATGTCAGAGGCAGCGCTGTGCTCTGATTGGACAGGAGATAGTCTGTTGGCGGGCCCAGGCCTCTCCTCTGGCTCTGATTGGTCGTAGGGCGTGTGGGTGGGGTCAATGAGAGGAGGGCGGGACATCTCACAGATGAGCTTTGACATGAGCTGCTGCTCCACCCTGAACACACACACACACGTTATAATGTACAGATAATACTCCCTACAACTATGCCACAGATAATACTCCCTACAATTATGCCACAGATAATACTCCCTACAACTGTCACAGATAATACACCCTACAATTATGCCACAGATAATACTCCCTACAACTGTCACAGATAATACTCCCTAAAACTATGTCACAGATAATACTCCCTACAACTATGTCACAGATAATACTTCCTACAACTATGTCACAGATAATACTCCCTACAACTGTGTCACAGATAATACTCCCAACAACTATGCCACAGATAATACTCCCTACAACTATGTCACAGATAATACTCCCTACAACTGTCACAGATAATACTCCCTACAATTGTGTCACAGATAATACTCCCTACAACTGTCACAGATAATACTACCTACAACTGTCACAGATAATACTCCCTACAATTGTGTCACAGATAATACTCCCTACAATTGTGTCACAGATAATACTCCCTACAACTGTGTCACAGATAATACTCCCTACAACTATGCCACAGATAATACTCCCTACAACTATGTCACAGATAATACTCCCTACAACTATGCCACAGATAACACTCACTACAATTGTGTCACAGATAATACTCCCTACAACTGTCACAGATAATACTCCCTACAATTGTGTCACAGATAATACTCCCTACAACTGTCACAGATAATACTCCCTACAACTGTCACAGATAATACTCCCTACAATTGTGTCACAGATAATACTCCCTACAATTGTGTCACAGATAATACTCCCTACAACTGTGTCACAGATAATACTCCCTACAACTATGCCACAGATAATACTCCCTACAACTATGTCACAGATAATACTCCCTACAACTATGCCACAGATAACACTCACTACAATTGTGTCACAGATAATACTCCCTACAACTGTGTCACAGATAATACTCCCTACAATTGTGTCACAGATAATACTCCCTACAACTATGCCACAGATAATACTCCCTACAACTATGCCACAGATAACACTCCCTACAACTATGCCACAGATAATACTCCCTACAATAGTGTCACAGATAATACTCCCTACAACTGTGTCACAGATAATACTCCCTACAACTATGCCACAGATAATACTCCCTACAACTGTCACAGATAATACTCCCTACAACTGTGTCACAGATAATACTCCCTACAACTATGCCACAGATAATACTCCCTACAACTATGCCACAGATAATACTCACTACAACTATGCCACAGATAATACTCCCTACAACTATGCCACAGATAATACTCCCTACAACTGTCACAGATAATACTCCCTACAACTGTGTCACAGATAATACTCCCTACAACTATGCCACAGATAATACTCCCTACAACTGTCACAGATAATACTCCCTACAACTGTGTCACAGATAATACTCCCTACAACTATGCCACAGATAATACTCACTACAACTATGCCACAGATAATACTCACTACAACTATGCCACAGATAATACTCCCTACAACTATGCCACAGATAATACTCACTACAACTATGCCACAGATAATACTCCCTACAATTGTGTCACAGATAATACTCCCTACAACTGTGTCACAGATAATACTCCCTACAACTGTGTCACAGATAATACTCCCTACAACTGTGTCACAGATAATACTCCCTACAACTATGCCACAGATAATACTCCCTACAACTGTCACAGATAATACTCCCTACAACTATGCCACAGATAATACTCCCTACAATTGTGTCACAGATAATACTCCCTACAACTGTGTCACAGATAATACTCCCTACAACTATGCCACAGATAATACTCCCTACAACTATGCCACAGATAATACTCCCTACAACTATGTCACAGATAATACTCCCTACAACTATGCCACAGATAATACTCACTACAACTATGTCACAGATAATACTCCCTACAACTGTGTCACAGATAATACTCCCTACAACTGTGTCAAAGATAATACTCCCTACAACTATGCCACAGATAATACTCCCTACAACTATGACACAGATAATACTCCCTACAACTCTATCATAGATAATACGCCCTACAACTATGCCACAGATAATACTCCCTACAACTGTCACAGATAATACTCCCTACAACTATGTCACAGATAATACTCCCTACAATTGTGTCACAGATAATACTCCCTACAACTCCTCAGACCTCCTGCTCCTCAGACGTGTGTGAGGTGTTACCACTGGACCAGTCGCTCCTCCAGGTCGTGTGTGTGGACGTCCAGGCCCAGGTAGAGGTTCTGTCCGTGGGCAGAGGGCGGAGCAGAGGGACGGGGCTGTGGAGGAAACACGGGACCCTGATACTGGACCGGGTCTGGACCAGGACCTCCCTCCAGCTCCAGGACCTCCTCAGAACCATCAGGAACATCAGGAACATCAGGAGCCTGGAACCAGAGCAGAGCACATGAAAGGGCAGAGGGCAGAGGTCAGGGGTCAGGGATCACAGGTGAGTTTACCTGCTCCATGTCGGCCACAGACAGGAAGTGTGTCCCGGGAAACTCCGCCTCTTCCTGTTCCTCTTGGACGGGGGACGACTGGACGATGTTCACCACAGGAGACGCTGCAGCTTCTGAGACCTGAGACACAGAGACCGAGTTCAGACCTGGTCCAGTCCTGGTCCAGTCTTGGTTCAGATTCAGTCCTGGTTCGGTTCTGGTTCAGTCCCAGTTCAGACCTGGTCCAGTCCTGGTCCAGTCTTGGTTCAGATTCAGTCCTGGTTCAGTCTTTCAGTTACAGCAGCAAAATCTGAAATTTATTCACAGACAAAATGTTGAAGTGAAACATCTGGATCCTGAGTCTGGGCTTCAGAAGAACATCTCAGACCAAACTGAGGCTCACAGCTGCAGGTCCAGACCAGACACACTTTTCCAGTGTGAGTCACGGGAGCCAGAGTCGATGGAGCCTCGAGAGCCTCCATACTCACTTCCTGTGTGAGCGGCGGCGGCGGCAGATGGCAGCGGCGGCGGCGGATGGCAGCGGCGGCGGCGGCGGCGAGGGCAGATCCACCGTGTGTGTCTCTGAGTGGTTACCGTGGTAACTCCAGGCTCTAACTCACCTCTGTCTCTCGATCGCCCTCTCGCGCCGCCTCTCCAGAGGTCACGACCCTTTGAGGTGATTTGGGCGGTGATGTCACTTCCTGCTGCGGCTGTAGGCGGGGTCTAGGCGGTGATGTCACTTCCCCCGGGGCTCTGTGGGAGGAGTCTATCCTGGGTCGACCTGTCAATCATAGTGAGGTCACAAAGTTAGAAACAAAACTCACCTGAGTCTGAGACTGAGACGTTTGTACCGACCCAGAGGGATGGCTCTGAGCGCGAAGCTGGGTCCAGACTCAACTGGACCAGGACCAAGACCAAGATTGGGACCAAGACCGGGACCAAGACTGGGACCAAGACCAGGACTAGTCTGAGTCTTGCAGGACTTGAGCTTCACTCCTGGACACAGACAGGGGTCAGTTGTTGGTTTATGAGTCGGGTTCATGAGTCGGGTTCATGAGTCGGGTTTATGGTCGGGTTTATGGTCGGGTTTATGAGTCGCTCTCACCTCTGACGCTCTCCACGATTCGGGGGCGTGGCCTGTTGGACCTGGGGGTGGGGTCAGGGGAGACAGGTGAGGTCAGGCGCAGGTACGGGCTCCTCTTCAGACTCCGCCTCTGCCCCTCGTGAGCCGCTTTACCGTAAAGACGACGCAGGTACAAGTCTGGATCTGAGGACAAGTCTGAGGACTGGAGCAGAGAACAAACCAGGACTGAACCAGGACCGAACCAGGACTAAACCAGGACTAAAACTAGTTAAGCACAAAGTCTAAACTGAACTAAACCATTATCACAGAAAAAAAACCCATCTCTTAACCGAGGGTCTAAACCAGGACTTGAGTTGGATTCTAACCGGTTTGGCGCTGGTTCTGGCGGGTTTCGTGGGGGTTGTTCTGAGCGTGCCCAGTGGTCTCGACCTGCCTGAGGGGGCGGGCTTTCTTCTGTCCGCTGCGTTCCGATTGGTTGAAGTCTTGGTTCCAGCAGAGTCGGGTTTGACAGATGACTTTTGGACCTCGACCTGAAACAGAACCAAGACCAGGATCAGACCCAGGATCAGACCCAGGATCAGACCCAGGTCCCTCTTGGTTTGTCTCAGGACTTGAGGTTCTGAGCTAAAGAAGAACCTCCTGTGGTCCTGGACACGTCTGAGCCGCCGCCGCCGCCGCCGCCGCCGCCGCCGCCGCCGCCGCCGCCGCCGCCGCCGCCGCCGCCGCCGCCGCCGCCGCCGCCGCCGCCGCCGCCGCCGCCCTACAAACAGGAAGTGTTCCTCTTCCTCTCTTCTCTCTCACCTGGATTTCTTTGGACACAGTGCTGATCCAGGAGTCCACGGCTTTCTTCATGCGGATTTCATCAGAACAATCTCTGCAAAACAGAAAAAACTGAACTGTTAAACCAGGACTAAACCAGGACTAAACCAGGTCTAAACCAGGACTAAACCAGGTCTAAACCAGGACTAAACCAGGACTAAACCAGGTCTAAACCAGGACTAAACCAGGTCTAAACCAGGTCTAAACCAGGACTAAACCAGGTCAAAACCAGGTCTAAACCAGGACTAAACCAGGTCTAAACCAGGTCTAAACCAGGTCTAAACCATTTCTAAACCAGGTCTAAACCAGGTCTAAACCAGGATTAAACCAGGACTAAACCAGGACTAAACCAGGTCTAAACCAGGTCTAAACCAGGTCTAAACCAGGATTAAACCAGGTCTAAACCAGGTCTAAACCAGGACTAAACCAGGATTAAACCAGGTCTAAACCAGGTCTAAACCAGGTCAAAACCAGGTCTAAACCAGGACTAAACCAGGTCTAAACCATTTCTAAACCAGGTCTAAACCAGGATTAAACCAGGTCTAAACCAGGTCTAAACCAGGACTAAACCAGGTAAACCAGGAAACTCTAAACCAGGTCTAAACCAGGTCTAAACCAGGTCTAAACCAGGACTAAACCAGGTCTAAACCAGGATTAAACCAGGTCTAAACCAGGTCTAAACCAGGATTAAACCAGGTCTAAACCAGGACTAAACCAGGACTAAACCAGGACTAAACCAGGACTAAACCAGGTCTAAACCAGGTCTAAACCAGGTCTAAACCAGGTCTAAACCAGGACTAAACCAGGACTAAACCAGGACTAAACCAGGTCTAAACCAGGACTAAACCAGTAAACCAGGTCTAAACCAGGTCCAGGTAAACCAGGTCTAAACCAGGATCTAAACCAGGTCTAAACCAGGTCTAAACCAGGTCTAAACCAGGTCTAAACCAGGTCTAAACCAGGTCTAAACTAAACCAGGTCTAAACCAGGACTAAACCAGGACTAAACCAGGTCTAAACCAGGATTAAACCAGGTCTAAACCAGGTCTAAACCAGGTCTAAACCAGGTCTAAACCAGGTCCAGGTCTTAAACCAGGTCTAAACCAGGACTAAACCAGGACTAAACCAGGACTAAACCAGGTCTAAACCAGGATTAAACCAGGTCTAAACCAGGTCTAAACCAGGTCTAAACCAGGATTAAACCAGGTCTAAACCAGGTCTAAACCAGGTCTAAACCAGGACTAAACCAGGACTAAACTAGGTCTAAACCAGGTCTAAACCAGGTCTAAAGCAGGACTAAACCAGGTCTAAACCAGGACTAAACCAGGTCTAAACCAGGTCTGGGTTCTGCTCGTGCACCTGTTCTGTGCGAGGGCTTTGAGGTGACAGTGCAGCAGGTCTCCGGTTCTCGCTCTGATCTGAGACTCCAGATTCTCCTCTAGAACTTTCCTCTGCCTCTGGACCTTCTTCAGAACCAGCCGGGCCTTGTCCAGAACTGAATCAGGACTCCGAAGACCCCCCAGGAGCCTGTGCGGTCCTGACCCGGATCCCCCCAGAACCCGAAGCGCAGTCCGGGCTCAGGTCCCGTTTGGAGGAGACGGCGTTTTGTCCGAGCGTTTCCGTCTTCCTGCTGTCACGTTCCTCTTCTCTCGGTTCTTCTCCGTTTTTGGCTCTGGTCTCGTCGGTTCTGGGTCTGGTCCGGTTTTGTGGCTGCTGTGGTTGAGTTTGTGCTTCGTCTCTCTCCTCTTCCTCCGGGGCTGTGCTTCGGTTCTGTTGGTTCTTCAGATGTTCCTGGTGAGATCGGATCCGTTCTTCTAAAATCTGGATGTAGCTCTCGTGCTTCTCCACGTCGTTCTCCTGATGTTCTGGTATCGTGACCCGAGTTTGACGTTCCTTCACATTTTTTAGTCGGGATGGTTTGGGGATTGTAGTTTTGGGCTGGTTCCTCACGGGGTGACCAGGCTGAGGGTGGGTTCTGTGGGTGTTTGTGAGGTTCTGTTGGGTTCTGTGGGTGTTTGTGAGGTTCTGTTGGGTTCTGTGGGTGTTTGTGAGGTTCTGTTGGGTTCTGTGGTGGTTCTTTTTGGAGGGAGACTGTGCTGGTTCTGTTCTAGAAGGTTCCCCTGGTTCCTCTCGCTGCTGGAGACAGAGGTCACATGACAGAGGTTTAACTGGGATCATGTCTGTTTTATTAAACACTTGTGGTTCTAGATCAGGGCTGGGTAAACTTTTTGACTCGTGGGCCACAAAAGGTTGTAAATTTTGACGGAAGGGCCGGACCAGGGGCAGATGGACGGAGTTTTTTGGTGATCCACTTCATAAGAGAAAAAAATAACATGAGAAATGTAGAAAACAAGTCCCATGTTACTGAAATATCTAAAACTGAAAATAATTACAAAACATCACAACAAAATCACTGTTTCACGTCCCAAGGTTTTTACTATTGACAGAAATGACTTTTATAACACTAAACTTATTATTATTATTATTATTCAAGTTGGGTGGGCCAGATTAAAAAGATTAAAGGGCCGCATATGGCCCCTGGGCCGTAGTTTGTCCACTCCTGATCTAGATGAATATTATTATTTAAACTCGAGATGTGGAGAGTCTCAGACTGATCGTCAGGTTTTTACACATGATACGTTCTAAATGTTCTGGTTCTGACCGTGAAAAGACTCTTCATCTCACTCCTCACACGTCCCACCTCCCGCAGCACCTGATTGGCTCCTGTCACTGCCTCCTCTGTGCTCTGATTGGCTCCCGTCGCTGCCTCCTCTGTGCTCTGATTGGCTCCCGTCGCTGCCTCCTCTGTGCTCTGATTGGTCCGTGAGGTCGACTCCGCAGGAAAACTGCACAAACACAAAACTGAGATTATCCTGCGATCGATTTTTATCGAGGAAGTTGCCGAGCGACACGAGTGACGCGCTCCTTTTCCTGGGCAGCACGACTCGGACCTCGGTGCTGGAAAAAGTGGAGCGAGTGAGGATTCTGAGTCAGACTCTCCGACGCTCCGCCCACTGTGACGTGAAAATAAGAAGAGGTTTCATTTGTTTGGACGAAACATAAAAATTCACACAACTCAGCTCCAACAGGACGACGAAGACAAAACCCACATGAGTCACAAGAAAATCAAACACACAGTTAATCATGAGTCTGGTCCGGGTGTGGTCCGGGTCCGGGTCCAGGTCTGGTCCTGGTCAGGTCCAGGTCAGGTCCGGGTCTGGTTCTGACCTGTTTGTAGCTGACGTCACAGGAAACGTCTGAGCAGCTCTGGACTCTGTGGGAACAAACAGCACAAGTGAGACAGGAGGAGACAGGAGCAGACAGGAGCAGACAGGAGCAGTGTCAGGAGCAGGCAGGAGCAGACAGGAGCAGACAGGAGCAGTGTCAGGAGCAGGCAGGAGCAGACAGGTGAGACAGACAGGAGCAGACAGGAGCAGGCAGGAGCAGGCAAGAGCAGACAGGAGCAGACAGGAGCAGGTATAGATGATTGACAGGTGGTACCTGTGCTCAGGTGTGCAGGGGGCGGAGCCTGAGGTCTTGTGGTTGTCTTCAGAGCCGAGTCCAACAACTGAGTCTAAAAAACAAACCAAGAACAGAAAAGAGAGAAAGTCCCACAGTGAACTTTAAACTTTTACAACACTTTTTTAATATGAGAGAAGAAGAAGAAGAAGAGGAAGAAGAAGAGGAGGAGGAAGAGGAGGAGGAAGGGAGGAGGAAGAGGAGGGGGAAGAAGAGGAAGAGGAGGAGGAGTGTGTAGTGACCTGCAGGATGAGCTGTTGTTGGTGCAGAGTCTCCAGTCTGTGAAGAGCCTCAGTCAAACTCTGACCCCTGGAACAGACCGTTTAAAACCTTAGTCCCGGTCCAGTCCCGGTCCAGTCCTGGTCCAGTCCCGGTCCAGTACCTGTACTGCTGCAGTAGTCTCTGTACTGACTCTGTGAGCTCTGTGACTTTGTTTGTGTCGATCTGAAACAGCAGAGCACACTGTGACATCACAAGGTGAGAGGACACACTTAGGTCACAGTTAAAGAGGTGGATGTGACTCTGTGGTGTTAAATGTAACACATCACAGGTTTAAATCACCTGCTGAGCTCCTGGTGCATCGTGGGAGTGTGAGTCTGGGCCTGGTGCATCGTGGGAGTGGGAGTCTGGGCCTGGTGCATTCTGGGGGCTGTGGTCCTGGTCTCTGGTGCTCGGTCGTGGTGCATGATGAGAGTCCAGCAGTGTGACTCTGACCTGCCTCCTGCAGGGGGCGCTCTGACTCCTGACACACAAACACATTACACACAAACACAGTCTGGACTTACTCAAGGATTTGTGCCAAAATAGAAACAATAATCACACACACACGACACACACACGACACACACACAGACAACAAGCACATGACATGCACACACACACTGTGAACATTTGTCCAAAAGCAGCATGAAGAGGAAAATGTGTTTGAACCCAAACATGTTCATGACAGAGTTTTAAAAAAGCTCTGGTTTCTTCTGAACTTTGATCAAATCTTTACACAGAGTAAAATAAACAACACTCGGTCGAACAAACGAATAATAAAGATAAATAATAGAGACCGAGTTCAGAGAAATAATAAAGATTTTAAAAGTTTATTGTTTCTGATCGTATCAAAACACGTCAGGATCAGGATCAGGTTTTCTATGGATTTCTGTAAGATTTGATTTTTATATTATTTTTGTAAGTGCCCCAAATTAAAACAAGTCACCGACCAAACTCACAAACAACACTCACAAACAACACTCACCCGTCCACCGACCAAACGACACTCACAAACAACACTCACAAACAACACTCACAAACAACACTCACAAACAACACTCACCCGTCCACCGACCAAACGATACTCACAAACAACACTCACAAACAACACTCACAAACAACACTCACCCGTCCACCGACCAAACGACACTCACAAACAACACTCACAAACGACACTCACACCGTCACACCGACCACGACACACTCACAAACAACACTCACAAACGACACTCACAACCGACCACCCAAACGACACTCACAAACACACTCACCAACACTCACCGTCCACCGACCAAACGACACTCACAAACGACACTCACTCCACCGACCAACGACACTCACAAACAACACTCACCCGTCCACCGACCAAACGACACTCACAAACAACACTCACAAACAACACTCACCCGTCCACCGACCAAACGACACTCACAAACGACACTCACCCGTCCACCGACCAAACGACACTCACAAACAACACTCACCCGTCCCGACCAAACGACACTCACAAACAACACTCACAAACAACACTCACCCGTCCACCGACCAAACGACACTCACAAACGACACTCACCCGTCCACCGACCAAACGACACTCACAAACAACACTCACCCGTCCACCGACCAAACGACACTCACAAACGACACTCACCCGTCCACCGACCAAACGACACTCACAAACAACACTCACAAACAACACTCACAAACAACACTCACCCGTCCACCGACCAAACGACACTCACAAACAACACTCACAAACGACACTCACCCGTCCACCGACCAAACGACACTCACAAACAACACTCACAAACGAACACTCACCCGTCCACCGACCAAACGACACTCACAAACAACACTCACAAACGACACTCACCCGTCCACCGACCAAACGACACTCACAAACGACACTCACCCGTCCACCGACCAAACGACACTCACAAACAACACTCACAAACGACACTCACCCGTCCACCGACCAAACAACACTCACAAACAACACTCACAAACGACACTCACAAACAACACTCACCCGTCCACCGACCAAACAACACTCACAAACGACACTCACAAACGACACTCACCCGTCCACCGACCAAACGACACTCACCTGTCCTCCAGCCTCACCTTTGTCTGAGCGCCTCTAGCCCCGCCCCTCGGCCTCCCGCAGCCAATCGGATCGTCTGCAGCTCGTCATCGTCTGTCAAAAAAAAACAGAGTCAGCTCTTGAGACACGAGCTCCCGTCGTGTCCCTCATCCTGTTCTGATGTGAGGAGCAAACGTCCCACAGCGGGGCTCTGCACAGCTGTTACACCTGGTGATGTCATCAGGTGGAGCTCCCCTCTCCTCTGGGCTTTTAGTCCACACACCGTCACCAAACTCACTCTGGACATTTTCAGCCTCGTTTGTAGAACTTTAAGTTTAACAGACACACACTTTATACTGAGGTGTGACTGTTACAGCGCCGCCCACAGGCCGAACGCAGAACCACACACACCATCATCACCATTATCACGACTATCACCATTATCACGACTATCACGACTATCACCATTATCACCGTTATCACCATTATCACCATTATCACCATCATCATCACCGTCATCACCGTTATCACCGTTATCACCGTCATCACCATTCTCACGACTATCACCATTATCACCGTTATCACCATTATCACCATCATCACCGTCATCACCGTTATCACCATTATCACCGTCATCACCATTATCACCGTTATCACCATTATCGCCAAGACGACAGACAACAGGACGTCCTCCCATCAGCACAAACTCTCCTGTTTTATACAAACATCTACAAAAACATGCTCTGAAATGTCCTCATGTGTCAGGTCCCCCACGTGTGTGTCAGGTCGCCCCCGTGTGTGTCAGGTCCCCCCCGTGTGTGTCATGTCCCTCCTCGTGTGTGTGATTTTCTGTATTTTACCAAAACAAATGACAGTTTCTGTGTCTTTGCTGTTGGGAGATTGGTCCAAACTAGAGACACTGGGACATTTCTTGTATAAATCTGGGATAAATCAGTGGTTGTGTAAATAATATTTAGTCATATATTAATAGTTTGTTTCCTTTTCCATCTCAGCTCCTCTGTTTTCTGCCCCGGGTTTGTTTTTCTTCCCTTCAGAGCAGCGGGGCGTGTGTGAGCTTACCCGGCGGAGGAGGCGCTGTTCCCGGCCTCGGAGCCGCGCGGGGGTCGGTGTTCTGGACCCGGAGCTCGGCTCTGGTGGATCGGATCAACACGTCCCCGGGGTCCGAGCACAGGGAGGCGGACAGAGTCTGTCCCCGGCGCGGGTTTGAGGAAAACATCCACTTTTATAAAAAAACTTTTATATAAACTCGACACTTTTATGTTTGAGTGACAGTTAGCATCGCGGCTAACGGAGGCTAACGGTTCAAACTTCCCGCTCCGAGAACACCGACTAAAGCTAAAGTGTAAAACACACAGAAAACACACGCAGGGCTTTAATAAAAAGACTGCTCCCCGCCGCGGCCACGTTTTACACACTTATTTATTAAAAAACTGGTTTAAAAAGTGCAAAAGTAAAGATCCTGAGTGAACAAAACTACAGCTGTTGCTAACAACAAACACGCGGCTTTTCCGGTGCGTCCCGCGGGACAGCGCCCCCTGCTGCACCGGCGCTACATCACTTCATTTAAAACTATAAAAACTTTAAAAAGTTTTGTTTCATTTTATGATCAGAGCCAAAACATTCTGAGCTCTTTTGGCTCCAGAGAATATTGGTGGTTTATTGAATGAAAAGCAGCACAAAGTTCAAGAAAACAACATTTTATTATTAAGGAGCCAATTTATTACACAAAAACAATCAGACACTTTAACACATTTATATCTGTATTTAGAGACGGGTCCAGCCTGGTCCTCGGACTAAACCGGGTCCAGCCTGGTCCTCGGACTAAACCGGGTCCAGCCTGGTCCTCGGACTAAACCGGGTCCAGGCCGGTCCTTGGACTAAACCGGGTCCAGCCTGGTCCTCGGACTAAACCGGGTCCAGGCCGGTCCTTGGACTAAACCGGGTCCAGGCTGGATCCCCTTTCACTTTGTCACTGGTGTCGTCACATGAATCAATAAAAAGTTAGATTTATTTTTCTTATTTTCTTATTTCTTTATTTGTAAAGGGACAACACAGATTAATGAACATTTCAAATGTAAATACATAAAGTTTATAAAGTCTGTGGAGCATTTCAATCTTCAGTCCTTCAGCCTCAGGTTTATGTCAAATCATTTACAGGAAAAAGAAAAGTACAACAACAATCACACCAAAGTACACAACACCAACACACACACACACTATACACACAACACACACACTGTACACACAACACACACACTGTACACACAACACACACACTGTACACACAACACACACACTATACACACAACACACACACTGTACACACAACACACACACTATACACACAAACACACACACACTATACACACAAACACACACACACTATACACATAACACACACACTGTACACACAACACACACTGTACACACAACACACACTGTACACACAATTCATTTCAAACAGTTCATCTAAAATTCAAAGTCCAGATTTAAAGATTTAAACCAACAACTCGTCAGTATAAAAACATGATTTGTTTAAATCTGTCGACACATTTGATGATTGAACTTCATGTTTTAAAGTTTTATAAAACTCTGCAGAGTTGAAATTTCTCGTCCATGAGCTGTTTCTGTGTCTCATGTTTGACGCTCAATAAATAAAAGAGTTTGTCCAAAAACACTTTTCTTAAATGACACAGAGCGTCGACTCTAGAGCTGATCTCACTGTGGGATTTTTGGAGTTTCTTTTCACAAACTCCTTCAGACGAGGTTGGAGCGAGACGATTAAAAACTTTGTACCAAATTAAATCTAAATATTTGATTGTGTCGTCCCAGTTTAGACATTTGTATTTGTCAAGTTTTCTGCAGAACTCATCATTTGTGGCTTTTTGTCTAAAACCTTAAGTGATTTTTTAAAGACAGTTTCAGCTCATTTATGTCCAACTTGTGCTGCAAACATTTAAGTGCAGCAAAATTATTGAATTTAAACACATCATTGCTGAGTTTGTCATTAGATTATTTCTTATGTGATGAAAATGTGATAAATTATATTTGATTTTATTCACTGTTTTTGTTGTTGTTTGAACAAAAGTCGTGGGTCCAGTGAGACTCTCAGATCCTTCACCTCGTGGACGAGTTTCAGTTTTGTTTCCACAAGCATGTCTGAGTCTGTGTCCAAAGCAGGTCTACAGCGTGTCTACAGCGGGTCTAGAGCGGGTCTACAGCGGGTCTAGACCAGGAGCTCGTGGTACTCTCCGCAGAAGTAGGCGGTGGAGCCGTAGGAGCGCAGGCCGAACCCGATGGCGGGGACCAGGTTGTGGGGGAAGCGTCCGTAGAACGTGTGCAGGTGGATTCTTCGGTCTCCTCTGGAATCGGCCTTGACCTCGTAGAAGGACAAAGCTCCAGCGTGAAGGTCCAGAAACACCCCCACACGTCCCCGCCCCCCCGCGGGCACCTGAGACAGAACCTGCTGCTTCGAGTCGTGACACACGGCGTACCTGACACACAGAACCGGGTTTAGACCTGGTTCAGTCCTGGTTTAGTCCTGGTTTAGTCCTGGTTTAGTCCTGGTTCAGTCCTGGTTCAGTCCTGGTTCAGTCCTGGTTTCAGTCCTGGTGTAGTCCTGGTTCAGTCCTGGTTCAGTCCTGGTTCAGTCCTGGTTCAGTCCTGGTTCAGTCCTGGTTCAGTCCTGGTTTAGTCCTGGTTCAGTCCTGGTTCAGTCCCGGTCTAGTCCTGGTTCAGTCCTGGTTCAGTCCTGGTTCAGTCCTGGTTTAGTCCTGGTTCAGTCCTGGTTCAGTCCTGGTTCAGTCCTGGTTCAGTCCCGGTCTAGTCCTGGTTCAGTCCTGGTTCAGTCCTGGTTAGTCTCCTGGTTCAGTCCTGGTTCAGTCCTGGTTCAGTCCTGGTTCAGTCCTGGTTCAGTCCTGGTTCAGTCCTGGTTCAGTCCTGGTTCAGTCCTGGTTCAGTCCTGGGTTCAGTCCTGGTTCAGTCCTGTTCCTGGTTTTAGTCCTGGTTCAGTCCTGGTTCAGTCCTGGTTCAGTCCCTGGTTCTAGTCCTGTCCTGGTTTAGTCCTGGTTCAGTCCTGGTTCAGTCCCGGTCTAGTCCTGGTTCCTGGTTCGTTTGTCCTGGTTTAGTCCTGGTTTAGTCCTGGTTCAGTCCCGGTCTAGTCCTGGTTCAGTCCTGGTTTAGTCCTGGTTTAGTCCTGGTTCAGTCCTGGTTCAGTCCTGGTTTAGTCCTGGTTTAGTCCTGGTTTAGTCCTGGTCCAGACCTGCCCTCGGAGCACCACAGTCTCCAGGAGATCTCGTTGAATCCAAACACACATCTTCTGTCGTCTCCCCGGCGACGGATGCTCCTGTCTGTCACAGCGATGGCCACGCCCCCTTTCCACTCCACCTCCCAGTAGCTCCGCCCACTCAGACTCGGACCCGGATCAGGACCAGGACTAGACTGAGGACCAGGACCGGACTTAGGACTGGACTCAGCCGGACCCACGGTGCAAAGGATCTGGAGCAAGGAAGAGAGTGTGACAGGTGCCGTCCCAGTGTGTCAGGTGTGTCAGGTGTGTGTCAGGTGTGTGTACAGGTGTGTGTACAGGTGTGTGTACAGGTGTGTGTCAGGTGTGTGTCAGGTCAGGTGTGTGTCGGTCAGGTGTGTGTCGGTGTGAGGTGTCAGGTGTGTGTCGGGTGCAGGTCAGGTGTGTGTACAGGTGTGTCAGGTGTGTGTCGGTGTGTGTCGGTGGTGTGTCGTGTGGTGGTGTGGTGGTGTGGTGGTCAGGTGTGTGTCAGGTGTGGTCAGGTGTGTGTCGGGTCAGGTGTGTGGTGTGGTCAGGTGTGTGTCGGGTGTGTGGTCAGGTGTGTGGTGTCAGGTGTGTGTGTGCGGTGTGTGTGTCGGTGGTCAGTGTGTGTGCAGTCGGGTGTGTGTCAGGGTGTGTCGGTAGTGTGGGTGTGTGTCGGTGTGGTCAGGTGTGGTCGGTGCGGCAGGTGTGTGTCAGGTGTGGTCAGGTGTGTGTCGGGTGTGTGTCGGGTGAGGTGGTGTGTCAGGTGTGTGTCAGGTGTGTCAGGGTGTCAGGTGTGTGTCGGGTGTGGTCAGGTGTGTGTCAGGTGTGTGTCGTGTCAGGTGTGTGGTGTGTCAGGTGTGTGTCGGGTGCGGTCAGGTGTGTCGGGTGTGTGTCAGGTGTGGGTCAGGTGTGTGTCGGGTGTGTGTTGGGTGGTCAGGTGTGTGTCGGTGTGCGTCAGGTGTGTGTCGGTGCGGTCAGGTGTGTTCGGGAGTGGTCAGGTGTGTGTCGTCGGGTGTGTGTCGGGTGCGGTCAGGTGTGTGTCAGGTGTGTGTGTCGGGTGTGTGTGTCGGGTGCGGTCAGGTGTGTGCGGGTGTGTGGGTGTGTCGGGTGTGGTCGGGTGCGGTCAGGTGTGTGTCAGGTGTGTGTCGGGTGTGTGTCGGTGTGCGGTCAGGTGTGTGTCGGATGCGGTCAGGTGTGTGTCAGGTGTGGTCAGGTGTGTGTCGGGTGCGGTCAGGTGTGTGTCAGGTGTGGTCAGGTGTGTGTCGGGTGTGTGTCGGGAGCGGTCAGGTGTGTGTCAGGTGTGGTCAGGTGTGTGTGTCGGGTGCGGTCAGGTGTGTGTCGGGTGTGTGTCGGTGTGTGTGTCGGTGTGTGTCGGGTGCGGTCAGGTGTGTGTCGGGTGCGGTCAGGTGTGTGTGTCGGGTGTGTGTCGGGAGCGGTCAGGTGTGTGTCGTGTGTGTGTGTCGGGAGCGGTCAGGTGTGTGTCGGGTGCGGTCAGGTGTGTGTCGGGTGCGGTCAGGTGTGTGTCGGGAGCGGTCAGGTGTGTGTCGGGTGTGTGTCGGGTGCGGTCAGGTGTGTGTCGGGTGCGGTCAGGTGTGTGTCGGATGCGGTCAGGTGTGTGTCAGGGTGTGGTCAGGTGTGTGTCGGGTGGTCGGTGTGTCGGGTGCGGTCAGGTGTGTGTCGGGTGTGTGTCGGTCAGGTGTGTGTGTCAGGTGTGGTCAGGTGTGTGTCGGGTGTGCGGTCAGGTGTGTGTCGGGTGTGTGTCGGGAGCGGTCAGGTGTGTGTCGGGTGCGGTCAGGTGTGTGTCGGGGGCCCTGACCTGGGGGTACCAGTCGAAGCGTTGCGGGTGCTGTGGATATTTCTGTTGTTCTTCGGTGAACTGGACCTCGGGTTTTTTCTCCAGAACTTTGAGCTCGAAGTTTGCGGTGGTGAGATCGAACCTCGGCTCACACGAGTCTGAGCGGAGACAAGTATTTACCTCTGTGTGTGTGTGTAGGTGTGTATGTGTGTAAACATTTATACACACACATTTACACATAAAATCATTCAGTGAAGTGACGTTTGTCGACGTCTCGTTTCTTTCAGACTCTTCAAAAAAACTTACGGCACCAGAAACACCGACTTAAACAAACTCACACTCACATTTGGCCAAACCCGGCATTTTCCACCAAACACTCTGAGGGTCCAACCTGAAACACACAAGAACCAGAACTGAACCAGGACTAAACCAGGACTGAACCAGAACTGAACCAGGACTAAACCAGGACTGAACTGGGTCTGACCTGAGTGTGTGGAGGCTGTAGCGCGGGTCGTCTCTCAGGTTCTTCAGGGTCTCAGTTCCGAAGATTCCCGGGTGGTTGAAGCTCAGGTCCAGCTCCTGGAGGTGAGTCGGGTTCAGGGTCAGAGCCGCGGCCAGAGACGAGCATCCGCTTTGGGTCACGAGACAACCAGAGAGTCTGCACAGAACCAGAACATGACCAGAACTGACCCGGGACCGACCCAGAACATGACCAGAACTGACCCAGAACCGACCCAGAGCTGCTCCTCACCTGAGCACCTGGAGCTCACAGGTGTCACTCTTCAGTCCTTCACACAGTTGCTTCACTCCACAGTCCTCCAGGTCGTTGTTGCTAAGGTCCAGTTCTTTGAGACTGGACCGAACCAGAACTGAGCCCAGAGCAGAACAGGAGCGCTCCGACAGGTGACACAGGGACAACCTGAAAAACAGAACACGCTGAAAGAGAACTCTGTGTGGTTCTGTCTCTGTGTGGTTCTGTGAGGTTCTGTGTGGTTCTGTGTGGTTCTGTGAGGTTCTGTGTGGTTCTGTGTGGTTCTGTGAGGTTCTGTGTGGTTCTGTGTGGTTCTGTGAGGTTCTGTGAGGTTCTGTGTGGTTCTGTGAGGTTCTGTGTGGTTCTGTGTGGTTCTGTGTTCTGTGTGGTTCTGTGTGGTTCTGTGTGGTTCTGTGTGGTTCTGTGAGGTTCTGTGTGGTTCTGTGAGGTTCTGTGAGGTTCTGTGTGGTTCTGTGTGGTTCTGTGAGGTTCTGTGAGGCTCTGTGAGGTTCTGTGTGGTTCTGTGTGGTTCTGTGAGGTTCTGTGAGGCTCTGTGAGGTTGTTTTACATGAGAAACATTTGGGAGAATAAAAGCAGATACTGTGACTCTTGGAACATTCAGATCTGTTTATGAACGAGACGAGCAGAGAGGAACCTTCAGGGCAGGTCTGAACCAGGTCTAAACCAGGACTGAACCAGGTCTGAACCAGGTCTAAACCAGGACTGAACCAGGTCTAAACCAGGTCTAAACCAGGACTGAACCAGGACTAAACCAGGTCTAAACCAGGACTGAACCAGGACTAAACCAGGTCTAAACCAGGACTGAACCAGGACTGATCCAGGCCTCACCTGAGCACCTGGAGCTCACAGGTGTCACTCTTCAGTCCTTCACACAGTTGCTTCACTCCACAGTCCTCCAGGTCGTTGTTGCTAAGGTCCAGTTCTTTGAGACTGGACCGAACCAGAACCGAGCCCAGAGCAGAACAGGAGCGCTCCGACAGGTGACACCCGCCCAACCTGACAGAGAGGCAGGGTTTAGACAGGAGCAGCAGGAGGAGGAGGAGCAGGAGGAGCAGGAGGAGGAGCAGGAGGAGGAACAGGAGGAGGAGGAGGAGGAGGAAGAGCAGGAGGAGCAGGAGGAGGAGGAGGAGGAGGAACAGGAGGAGGAGCAGGAGGAGAACAGGAGGAGGAGCAGGAGGAGGAACAGGAGGAGGAGGAGCAGGAGGAGGAGCAGGAGCAAGAGGAAGAGCAGGAGCAGGAGGAGGAGCAGGAGGAGGAGCAGGAGGAGGAACAGGAGGAGGAACAGGAGGAGGAGCAGGAGGAAGAACAGGAGGAGGAGCAGGAGGAGGAGGAGCAAGAGGAAGAGCAGGAGCAGGAGGAGGAGGAGCAAGAGGAAGAGGATCAGGAGGAGCAGGAGGAGCAGGAGGTGGAGGAGGAGGAGGAACAGGAGGAGGAGCAGGAGGAAGAACAGGAGGAGGAGCAGGAGGAGGAACAGGAGGAGGAACAGGAGGAGGAGGAGCAGGAGGAGGAGCAGGAGCAAGAGGAAGAGCAGGAGCAGGAGCAGGAGGAGGAGCAAGAGGAAGAGGATCAGGAGGAGCAGGAGGAGCAGGAGGTGGAGCAGGAGTCGTACATGGCGCGGGTGGAGGCCTGCAGCACTGGGAGCAGGTGGAGCAGAGCCTCCTCTGATGGACAGAACTTCCGGAGATCAAACAGATCCAGGTCCCGATCCGACGTCAGGAGCAGGAAAACCAGAGCGGCCCACTGAGTCGAGGAGAACCGGGCCGGATCCAGAACCCCGGACCTGAGGGAGAGAACACGACCGGTCAGAACCACGGACCTGATCCAGAACCCTGAACCGGACCTGATCCAGAACCCTGAACCGGACCTGATCCAGAACCCCCGACCTGAGTGAGGGACACTGACATCTGAACTGACTAAACACAAGAATAACAAACATTCCATGTTGGGGCTGTGGCCCCTCCCTCCTCAGTGTGGCCCCTCCCCCGTCTCACCTGAGCTGGGTCTGGACCTGCTGGACGAGGCTATGGTCCTGCATCTCGCTCAGGCAGTAGAACAGGTTGAGGACTTTCTCCGTGGACAGCTCCTCCCTCTGTTCCTCGCTCACCTTCTTCTGCAGGTACCGCACCGTCTCCTGATTGGTCGCCTCGCTGCCTGTCGGTGACATCAGCCCCCGCAGCAGCCTCTGATTGGCCGGCAGGGACAGACCCAGGAGGAAGCGCAGGAACAGGTCCAGGTGTCCGTTGGGACGCCGCACGCACGTCTCCACCGCCGTTTTGTAAAAGAGCACCGGGTCCGAGCTCTCGGACCCGTCCTCCACTAGAAGGTTCTCTCCGGAGCTGAAGAAGGTCAGATGGACGTGAAGAGCGGCCAGAAACTCCTGCACACTCAGATGGATGAAGCTGTAGACCTTGTCCTGGTACAGGCCTGGCTCCTCTCTAAAGACCTGTGTGAACACTCCGGAGTACACTGAGGCCGCTGCAGCGTCCAGCCCACACTCGCTCAGGTCACTCTCGTAGAAGATCAGGTTTCCTTTCTGCAGCTGCTCAAAGGCCACTTTTCCCAGAGACTTCACCATCTCCCTGGTCTCTGGAGTCCAGTGAAGGTCCTCCCCTGATCCCTGCTGATACTTGATGTTCTGGACTTTGGCCTGCACCACCAGGAAGTGGACGTACATCTGTGTGAGAGTCCGGGGCAGCTCTGGTTCTGTTTGTTCCAGAAGCTTCTGTAGAACCTTGGAGAGGATCCAGCAGAAGATCGGGATGTGGCTCATGATGTGGAGGCTGCGGACGCTCTTGATGTGGGAGATGATGATGTTGGCCTGGTGTTTGTCTCTGAACCTCTTCCTGAAGTACTGCTCCTTCTGCGGGTCGGCGAACCCTCGCACCTCTGTCACCATGGAGACGCACTCAGCAGGGATCTGATTGGCCGCGGCGGGGCGCGTGGTTATCCAGAGGAGAGCGGAGGGAAGCAGGCTCCCCCTGATGAGGTTCACCAGCAGCACGTGCACTGAGGCGGACTCTGTGGGGTCGCTCAGGACCCGGGTTCGGCCGAAGTCCAGAGGAAGTCTGCACTCGTCCAGACCGTCAAAGATGAAGAGCACCTGGAGCTGTTGGAAGCTGCACAGATCTTTGGATGGACTGAAGAAGTGGTGCAGCAGCTCCTCCAGGCTGAACTGTGTGTCTCTGAGCACGTTCAGATCTCTGAAAGTGAAGGGGAACAGCAGCTGGAGGTCCTGGTGGGCCCGGCCTTCAGCCCAGTCCAGACCGAACTTCTGAGTCAGCACTGTTTTCCCCACGCCGGCCACGCCCTTCGTCAGCACTAATCTGATTGGTTGTGGTGAATGTGGGCGGGGTTTAAAGAGCTCTTCACATGTGATGGTCTCTGGAGCGGCCGGTCTCCTGGACGTCGTCTCCACAAGTCTGACCTCGTGTTCCTGGTTGACCTCTGAGGCTCCGCCCTCTGTGATGTGGAGCTCTGTGTAGATCTGGCTCAGGGGGGCGGAGTCTGAGGCTTTAGCCACGCCCTCAAACACACGGCTGAACCTGTGCGCCACAAGACGCCTGGTCTGCCCCCGGCACACGGAGCCCCGGGTCCCTGCGACAACAACGACAACAACAACAACAACAACATCACAGGACTGAGACTCAGACTCTGATGATATAAACAAATAAATACATTTGAAATAAATAAAAAAAACTGAACAAGAGACATAATGATATAAATGTAAAGTCCAAATAAAATAAAACAGATCATGAATCAAATATAAAATCACACCTTTATATTTGAGGTCAAAAGAAAGAAGAAGAAGAAGTCCTGTCAATATGATTGACAGGACAGTTGTAGGGAGTATTATCTGTTCCAGAAGGGTGAGTTGTATGGTTGTAGGGAGTATTATCTCAGGTCTTACTGGTCAGCAGGAGGTCAGCGAGTTGCTCCTGGTCCATGGTCTTGAGGAAGTCCAGGGTCAGAGAGAGGACGGCCTGAGTCCTCTGGTCCTGGTCCTGATCCTGGTCCGGTTCTAGGTCCAGGTCTGAGGTCAGGATCTTCTGAAGCTTCTTCAACTGTTGCTTCACGAAGGACACGAGGTCCTCCTCCAAACGCTGCACAGAACCAGGACTAAACCAGGACTAAACCAGGTCTAAACCAGGTCTAAACCAGGTCTAAACCAGGTCTAAACCAGGTCTAAACCAGGACTAAACCAGGTCTAAACCAGGACTAAACCAGGACTAAACCAGGACTAAACCAAGTATAAACCAGGTCTAAACCAGAACTAAACCAGGACTAAACCAGGACTAAACCAGGTCTAAACCAGGTCTAAACCAGGACTAAACCAGGACTAAACCAAGTATAAACCAGGTCTAAACCAGGACTAAACCAGGACTAAACCAGGACTGGTGGAGGTACCTTAAAGACTGGTTCCAGGTGGTTCTTGAGGTCCACATCTCGGTGGATCGACCTTTTGTTCTGTAAGACGTCCGACTCTGACTCCGCCCTAAAACACAGACACAGTCAGGACCTCCCTCTCCCCAGACGCCTCCTCTGTCCTCCCTCTCCCCAGACGCCTCCTCTGTCCTCCCTCTCCCCAGACGCCTCACCTTGTGAATTTCAGGTATTTCTGAATGGAGCTGTCGCTCTTTAGGGACTGTGGCTCTGGTCTTGGTTCTGATCCCAGACCTGGTCCTGGTTCTAGTTCTGGTTTGGGTCTGGGCCGAGGGGGCGGGGCCGGGCGGGGGCCTGGTTCTGGATCGGTTCTAAAAGAGAAAAGAGGAAAATGCTCAGAACCTGTTTCAAAAATCATTTAAATCATTTAATTTCTGTGTCACATTTAAGGCGGTTTCAGTTAACGCAGCTGGAGTCCGGCTCCAGTTCGACTCTGCTTCATTTTCCGCCCAGACTTTTCAAAACATTTTAATATTAAAGTTCAGACTCTCTAGGTTTAAATTATTATTATTAATATTTATATATTTGTCTTCTTTTTGTAGGTTTTAGGTTTAAAATGTCACTTCCTGGCTGGAAACTGTGACGTCATCACTGGGGAATTTCGTTACTGTTACCGTAGCAACCGTGTGGTAAAACGCACCAACACAAACTAAACCAAACTAAACCAAACTAAACCAAACTAAACCAAACTAAACCAAACTAAACCAAACTAAACCAAACTAAACCAAACTAAACTAATCCCCGAAACAAATGTGACATTTATACAAAACCAAACCAACCAAACCAAAGCAGAGATTTGTGTCTCACCTCGTGAAGTCCAGGTTTCTGTAAATGGAGCCGTCGCTCTTTAGGGACTGTGGCTCTGGTCCTGGTTCTGATCCCAGACCTGGTCCTGGTCCTGGTCCTGGTTTGGGTCTGGGTCGAGGGGGCGGGGCCAGGCGGGGGCCAGGTTCTGGGTCGGTTCTAAAAGAAGAAAATGGTTAGTCCCCTCCCTCTCCCCAGACACCTCCTCTGTCCTCCCTCTCCCGAGACACCTCCTCTGTCCTCCCTCTCCCGAGACACTCTCCTCTGTCCTCCCTCTCCCCAGACACCTTCCTCCAGACACTTCCTCTGTCCTCCCTCTCCCGAGACACCTCCTCTGTCCTCCCTCTCCCGAGACACTTCCTCTGTCCTCCCTCTCCCCAGACACCTCCTCTGTCCTCCCTCTCCCGAGACACCTCCTCTGTCCTCCCTCTCCCCAGACACTTCCTCTGTCCTCCCTCTCCCGAGACACTTCCTCCGTCCTCCCTCTCCCGAGACACCTCCTCTGTCCTCCCTCTCCCCAGACACCTCCTCTGTCCTCCCTCTCCCGAGACACCTCCTCTGTCCTCCCTCTCCCCAGACACCTCCTCTGTCCTCCCTCTCCCGAGACACCTCCTCTGTCCTCCCTCTCCCCAGACACCTCCTCTGTCCTCCCTCTCCCGAGACACCTCCTCTGTCCTCCCTCTCCCCAGACACCTCCTCTGTCCTCCCTCTCCCCAGACACCTCCTCTGTCCTCCCTCTCCCGAGACACCTCCTCTGTCCTCCCTCTCCCGAGACACCTCCTCTGTCCTCCCTCTCCCGAGACACCTCCTCTGTCCTCCCTCTCCCGAGACACCTCCTCTGTCCTCCCTCTCCCGAGACACTTCCCTCACCGTGTCTCCTCTGTGGACCTGCTGCTCTTGGCTCCGAGTCCTGGTCTGGTCCAGGGTTTGGCCTTTGGTCTGGATCCTGGTCCTGGTCCTGGTCCTGGTTCAGGGTTGGGTCTGAAAGGGGCTCAAGTTAAACCTACAGTCTGTGTAAAGTGTTCTACCTGTGCAGGTGTGTGTTGTGTGTGTGTTGTGTGTCTGTGTGTGTGTCTGCGTGTGTCTGTGTGTGTATATGTGTGTGTGTGTGTGTGTTGTGTGTGTGTGTGTTGTGTGTGTGTGTGTGTGTGTGTGTGTGTGTGTGTGTGTGTGATGTGTGTGTGTGTGTGTGTGTTGTGTGTGTGTGTGTGTGTGTGTGTGTGTGTGTGTGTGTGTGTGTGTGTGTGTGTGTGTGTATGTGTGTGTGTGTGTGTGTGTGTGTGTGTGTGTGTGTGTGTGTGTGTGTGTGTGTGTGTGTGTGTGTGTGTGTGTGTGTGTGTGTGTGTGTGTGTGTGTGTGTGTGTGTGTGTGTGTGTGTGTGTGTGTGTGTGTGTGTGTGTGTGTGTGTGTGTGTGTGTGTGTGTGTGTGTGTGTGTGTGTGTGTGTGTGTGTGTGTGTGTGTGTGTGTGTGTGTGTGTGTGTGTGTGTGTGTGTGTGTGTGTGTGTGTGTGTGTGTGTGTGTGTGTGTGTGTGTGTGTGTGTGTGTGTGTGTGTGTGTGTGTGTGTGTGTGTGTGTGTGTGTTGTGTGTGTGTGTGTGTGTGTGTGTGTGTGTGTGTGTGTGTGTGTGTGTGTGTGTGTGTGTGTGTGTGTGTGTGTGTGTGTGTGTGTGTGTGTGTGTGTGTGTGTGTGTGTGTGTGTGTGTGTGTGTTGTGTGTGTGTGTGTGTGTGTGTGTGTGTGTTGTGTGTGTGTGTGTGTGTGTGTGTGTGTGTGTGTGTGTGTGTGTGTGTGTGTGTGTGTGTGTGTGTGTGTGTGTGTGTGTGTGTGTGTGTGTGTGTGTGTGTGTGTGTGTGTGTGTGTGTGTGTGTGTGTGTGTGTGTGTGTGTGTGTGTGTGTGTTGTGTGTGTGTGTGTGTGTGTGTGTGTGTGTGTGTGTGTGTGTGTGTGTGTGTGTGTGTGTGTGTGTGTGTGTGTGTGTGTGTGTGTGTGTGTGTGTGTGTGTGTGTGTGTGTGTGTGTGTGTGTGTGTGTGTGTGTGTGTGTGTGTGTGTGTGTGTGTGTGTGTGTGTGTGTGTGTGTGTGTGTGTGTGTGTGTGTGTGTGTGTGTGTGTGTGTGTGTGTGTGTGTGTGTGTGTGTGTGTTGTGTGTGTGTGTGTGTGTTGTGTGTGTGTGTGTGTGTGTGTGTGTGTGTGTGTGTGTGTGTGTGTGTGTGTGTGTGTGTTGTGTGTGTGTGTGTGTGTGTGTTGTGTGTGTGTGTGTGTGTGTGTGTGTGTGTGTGTGTGTGTGTGTGTGTGTGTGTGTGTGTGTGTGTGTGTGTGTGTGTGTGTGTGTGTGTGTGTGTGTGTGTGTGTGTGTGTGTGTGTGTGTGTGTGTTGTGTGTGTGTGTGTGTGTGTGTGTGTGTGTGTGTGTGTGTGTGTGTGTGTGTGTGTGTGTGTGTGTGTGTGTGTGTGTGTGTGTGTGTGTGTGTGTGTGTGTGTGTGTGTGTGTGTGTGTGTGTGTGTGTGTGTGTGTGTGTGTGTGTGTGTGTGTGTGTGTGTGTGTGTGTGTGTGTGTGTGTGTGTGTGTGTGTGTGTGTGTGTGTGTGTGTTGTGTGTGTGTGTGTGTGTGTGTGTGTGTGTGTGTGTGTGTGTGTGTGTGTGTGTGTGTGTGTGTGTGTGTGTGTGTGTGTGTGTGTGTGTGTGTGTGTGTGTGTGTGTGTGTGTGTGTGTGTGTGTGTGTGTGTGTGTGTGTGTGTGTGTGTGTGTGTGTGTGTGTGTGTGTGTGTGTGTGTGTGTGTGTGTGTGTGTGTGTTGTGTGTGTGTGTGTGTGTGTGTGTGTGTGTGTGTGTGTGTGTGTGTGTGTGTGTGTTGTGTGTGTGTGTGTGTGTGTGTTGTGTGTGTGTGTGTGTGTGTGTGTGTGTGTGTGTGTGTGTGTGTGTGTGTGTGTGTGTGTGTGTGTGTGTGTGTGTGTGTTGTGTGTGTGTGTGTGTGTGTGTGTGTGTGTGTGTGTGTGTGTGTGTGTGTGTGTGTGTGTTGTGTGTGTGTGTGTGTGTGTGTGTGTGTGTGTGTGTTGTGTTGTGTGTGTGTGTGTGTGTGTGTGTGTGTGTGTGTGTGTGTGTGTGTTGTGTGTGTGTGTGTGTGTGTGTGTGTGTGTGTGTGTGTGTGTGTGTGTGTGTGTGTGTTGTGTGTGTGTGTGTGTGTGTGTGTGTGTGTGTGTGTGTGTGTGTGTGTGTGTGTGTGTGTGTGTGTGTGTGTGTGTGTGTGTGTGTGTGTGTGTGTGTGTGTGTGTGTGTGTGTGTGTGTGTGTGTGTGTGTGTGTGTGTGTGTGTGTGTGTGTGTGTGTGTGTGTGTGTGTGTGTGTGTGTGTGTGTGTGTGTGTGTGTGTGTGTGTGTGTGTGTGTGTGTGTGTGTGTGTGTGTGTGTGTGTGTGTGTGTGTGTGTGTGTGTGTGTGTGTGTGTGTGTGTGTGTGTGTGTGTGTGTGTGTGTGTGTGTGTGTGTGTGTGTGTGTGTGTGTGTGTGTGTGTGTGTGTGTGTGTGTGTGTGTGTGTGTGTGTGTGTGTGTGTGTGTGTGTGTGTGTGTGTGTGTGTGTGTGTGTGTGTGTGTGTGTGTGTGTGTGTGTGTGTGTGTGTGTGTGTGTGTGTGTGTGTGTGTGTGTGTGTGTGTGTGTGTGTGTGTTGTGTGTGTGTGTGTGTGTGTGTGTGTGTGTGTGTGTGTGTGTGTGTGTGTGTGTGTGTGTGTGTGTGTGTGTGTGTGTGTGTGTGTGTGTGTGTGTGTGTGTGTGTGTGTGTGTGTGTGTGTGTGTGTGTGTGTGTGTGTGTGTGTGTGTGTGTGTGTGTGTGTGTGTGTGTGTGTGTGTGTGTGTGTGTGTGTGTGTGTGTGGTGTGTGTGGTGTGTGTGTGTGTGTTGTGTGTTGTGTGTGTGTGGTGTGTGTGGTGTGTGTGTGTGTGTCTGTGTGTGTGTGTTGTGTTGTGTGTGTGTGTGTGTGTGTGTGTGTGTGTGTGTGTGTGTGTGTGTGTGTGTGTGTGTGTGTGTGTGTGTGTGTGTGTTGTGTGTGTGTGTGTGTGTGTGTGTGTGTGTGTGTGTGTGTGTGTGTGTGTGTGTGTGTGTGTGTGTGTGTTGTGTGTGTGTGTGTGTGTGTGTGTGTGTTGTGTGTGTGTGTGTGTGTGTGTGTGTGTGTGTGTGTGTGTGTGTGTGTGTGTGTGTGTGTGTGTGTGTGTGTGTGTGTGTGTGTGTGTGTGTGTGTGTGTGTGTGTGTGTGTGTGTGTGTGTGTGTGTGTGTGTGTTGTGTGTGTGTGTGTGTGTGTGTGTGTGTGTGTGTGTGTGTGTGTGTGTGTGTGTGTGTGTGTGTGTGTGTGTGTGTGTGTGTGTGTGTGTGTGTGT